CATGGGCCAAACAAGTAACGAGACAAGTACCCGGTAAACATATACCAAATTTCCACTTACGTGGTGGAACACTTTAGCTTAAGCTAGGCTACCTTTTTTTATAGAGGAAACCCTACGAAAACCTCAACATACTACGAGAGGGTAGGGTTAGTGCAAGCACACCTCTCGGTCTTTATCGACAAAGGCTGCCTTCTTTAGCCTTAAAAAGGAAAGGGGGAGAATCGAACCCACCGACATAGTGCTTAGAAGGCACCCGCCAAAACCAAATCAATCCCCTGGAGGGGGGGTCGAGAAACCCCCCAAATTTCCGTTTCTTCTTATGGTTGGAAACATCTGGAATCCACCTTACGGGGGGCTCCGTCTTCAGGGCCTACCTCAATGGATCTTTATCACCCCGCCCCCCGTCGAGAGGGTGAGATCCATTGAGGTCATGGGCCAAACAAGTAACGAGACAAGTACCCGGTAAACATATACCAAATTTCCACTTACGTGGTGGAACACTTTAGCTTAAGCTAGGCTACCTTTTTTTATAGAGGAAACCCTACGAAAACCTCAACATACTACGAGAGGGTAGGGTTAGTGCAAGCACACCTCTCGGTCTTTATCGACAAAGGCTGCCTTCTTTAGCCTTAAAAAGGAAAGGGGGAGAATCGAACCCACCGACATAGTGCTTAGAAGGCACCCGCCAAAACCAAATCAATCCCCTGGAGGGGGGGTCGAGAAACCCCCCAAATTTCCGTTTCTTCTTATGGTTGGAAACATCTGGAATCCACCTTACGGGGGGCTCCGTCTTCAGGGCCTACCTCAATGGATCTTTATCACCCCGCCCCCCGTCGAGAGGGTGAGATCCATTGAGGTCATGGGCCAAACAAGTAACGAGACAAGTACCCGGTAAACATATACCAAATTTCCACTTACGTGGTGGAACACTTTAGCTTAAAAAGGAAAGGGGGAGAAGGCACCCGCCAAAACCAAATCAATCCCCTGGAGGGGGGGGTCGAGAAACCCCCCAAATTTCCGTTTCTTCTTATGTTTTGGGGGGGTCAAACCCCCCCAAAACACCCCCCCAACTGCCCATTTTGGGCCAATAACTTCACAAAAAAAACCCTAAAATAAAGCACCCTTTTTACAGGGGAAAGGGGGGCCATTCCCTCCCCCCTTTCCCCAAACACCCCTTTCTCCCCCTCCCTTGTCTTAACCTCAATCCATCTCTATATACTTAAGTCTAAGAGATTCAAGAGTTGGGAACAGATAGTTTGAGCAGGTTTGGAGTTGGTGAGTGCTCCCACCTACTCCTCTCCCTACTTTCCTCCCCTCTTCTCTTAGACAGTGGTAGAGATAGGCAGGTTAACATATTATTACTCAGAATCCTAGACAGGATCCTTCCCCCCCCCCCCCCCCCCCCCCATACATATACATGCACACGCCCATGCACACAATACACGGTCTATGAAAACTGTAGCAGTTTGGTTTCCTCTCAAGTGCTAAAAATCTCTTAAATATGTTTATCAATAGGTTCATGTAAGTGTCTTTATATAAAGGTCAGAATAATATCAAGACTATATTATTGAGAATAAGTACCTTCCTACACTAGTTACATGTGACTGTTTTGTATCTGAGAGTTAACACAAGCACCAGGCATTAGCTATTAGGTGAAGGACAACTTGACAAGGGTAGGAAAAAATGCTGCATAAACTACTGATAATTATGAACATGCATGAACAATGTTCCTGGAGGTGCAGTGCCCCATGCTATAAAGCTAAAAACAAATCAATTCATTTCCTTGACAACACCTGCTTGGCAATTTGTAACTGTACCAGTCTACACAAGTAGTACAACATGTACTTTTTCAGTGACTGAGGATAATCTTAATTTCTATTCATGAATTTGTCAAAACACGTCAAAACAGATGAAATATTATATCAATTCAAATGAAGTTTTGCATGCAGATGTAAGCCCATGCCTGCACATAATATAGTACAAGTTGTTGACTCCACTGCATACAGCCAGTAAAATATAGTCTGCATGCTACCCTTGCCCTGTGCTATAAATGGGAGGCATAAACAATTGTAAATCATAATCATGGCTTTCTTTTGCCTTGGGCCAAATAATACCCCTTTTTCCTCAGAGCAAAAACAAAAGCAGATTTGAATTAAAACTTTTTTCTGAGTCATAAAATAAAATACCAAACAAAAGTGAAATGTGCATACTTAGTCACCAAAGAATTTTATGTGCAATTTGTGTCAAACATATTAAATAGAAAAAAATCCTTAAGAAAAAAATACTTTGGAAAAATTCCCAATGAAAGTTAGTTTAGTGTTTCTTTACTTAAATCATGTGTTTGTTTACTTATATCACATGTACTTTTCTAAACACAATTCAAACCAATTATGCCCTGCACACTATCTAGAACTTGGCAGAACTTGACAAGGAAATAATCAGTTGTGCAGCTATACCTCCGGGTGTTTGAGCCTGGTCCAAACTAGAATTTTGCATGTGGATAAATTACAAATCAATACTAAACAACCCAGCTTAAGGGTTGATTGCACATGAACACTAAAATAAGGAAATGGACCTTTCGAAGTAACTTAAATTAATTACCTTGAAAAATGTGAAAAAAACATTTGCCTGCTATAATATATTCTGTGCATAGATGTACTGTACATGAAAACCTCAAGGGAAAGTGGGAGTGGAATGCAGTCAAGGTTTTCATATGTACTTATATTATTCTGGTCATGATACCTGGCTGAATATCATCAGATATTTATCACAGGTAGATAAATAATTCCCCACGAATACAAGAGGTAAAACCATTTCATACCCATGCTGACAATGTTACACCTGATGTTACAGGTTTCTACTGTGAAGACAGGCATGAAAGGCCCATGCAAAAAATGTAAAAAAAGTAGATTGATGAGACCTACAAAACACACCCTTTAAAAACAGTACTGGGTCCCCTGCAGGTATGCATACACTTGATGATGCCTATTAAATTATAATAGGTATGATATTTCATATGTGTGCCTGTGGATAAATCTGACTGCTTGGTTTTGGTATGTTTTTATATTTTTGTTAGGGGTGTAGTGTTTGGTATTAATAGTCATCCTGGACATCAACCAAAAGTAATAAGGGTCATGGCTAAGACACTAAGTCACTGTGGTCAGAAGCTGAAGTCATTTTTCATGAAAGTGGAGTTCATTTTTCACAAACGTGTAGATGATTTTTCATGAAAGTGGAGATTATTGTTATGAAAGTAGGGATCAATTTTTATGAAAGTGTCTCCAGGATCCCAAAATGTCACCCAAACAGCTACCCGAAAAGTGTACCACTTCATGATTCATAAACCCATCTCTTTGATCATATTACTGGTCAGTTTGATGGTCACTTTCTGTGCCTAAGGGTCATCCATTATGGAACTGTTTCCACCATATATATATATGAACCATTGCTTGTTGCAAGTGTGTTTAATCATAGAACACATCATGATCGTAACAATACTGGCATGGTTGTTTTTAATAATAATCATAAATGGCTTCTGTCAGGAAAAGAAAAATGTATTTTGTCTTCCAAATTAGTTTTTATTATATGAAACTAGGATAAATTGGTCATTATGGACTATAAATGTAAGCAGCAATGGCTGTTTACCAGATGTGCCAAAAAAAAAAAAAAAAAAAAATCACATAAATTTTACGACTGACTGACTTTTTACATAATCATTCATTTTCAGCCAGGTGAATAGCTTCAATTTCAACCTTGTAACTTTTAAACTAAAAACCTTTATTAATATAAGATTAAGAAAGTTTTATTTTATTAGGGCAATGTCAACTAATAATTGTGTGGAACAGTTCTCTGTTTAAAACTGTGGCTACTGTAAACACAAAATACACTCATCTTAATTTCATGGTTTTCACCTCACCACATACTAGCATTTTCGTCAGTTCAGGGATATTTGTGGTCTACCATTTAATTCTTCCATTCCTTTCAAGTTTGGGTTTTTGTTAATACACATTTCGCATAAATCACAGTGTCCAAACAGAAGACAGAGTGTAGTTGGACAATGGACATTACCTTATTTTAGTATTGAGATCAACTTGTTTTCCTGTATTAAAAATGTATTACTTCAGCACATTTATCAAGATGTTTGTTTTATTTATATATGCCAGGCACCTATCTGACAAACCACACATTTCTGAAAAAGTTGCCTTATGATATCAAAATGCTAAAAGTGTATAATGTTCAAAAATCATGCACTCTTCTAAAAGTGAAAATATCAGTTATATTTTTGCCTAATCAAAAATGCACTCTGATTACTTTTAAAATAGCAAGGGTGAAATTTTTTTTTCTATCTGACACCAATGTTGATTCAAGAAAAACAGCAGATGTAACCAACCTTAAATTCATGAATCATCAAATGAAACAAAAATCAAAGATAACTTTTAAATGCCCTATTTTAGATTTACAATGCATGTAAATGCATGAACATTCATAAAACTAAACATGATGAGTAATATACAAAATGAGTAAAACTTCCCTTTCCCGTGCTTCTATTTTCCCTAGTCATAAAATATAGTAGAAAATAATACTTCTTTCACAACGCATATCACACTGTAATAAAAGTTGGATGGGCCTCACAAACATTGTACAATTAGCCTGCTATAAATTTACTGTACCAGGGATTTATTTCACTTTTATGAATAACGTGTGCCAAATAACTGCAATGTGGAATTTAATCTCATTCCCAAATATGATAAGCAGATCAGCAAATTATAATCCAATTGTAACCCGATCAACTGAGGACTATGCAAGATCAGTATGACCAGGTGTACTTGGCACTTAATCAGATTTATCACAACATTTTGTAAGGGTGTTTCTGAAAATTGGTACGAAAGCTGCTCTAGGCTAATTGTTTCTACTGATTCATTTATCTACCACCCATTTCAATCTTCCTCATGTACAGGTCAGACGAGTACAGAGTGATCAAAGATGGCTGTGACAGCCTAATTAACAAATCAAAGGTGTGAAAAAGTGTACAACTACTCTGTTACATGTGCACTTGTGGACTACCAAATACTTTCAAGAATGTAACAGTACAACTCAAAGAGATTTTGTCTTTACAGACAGGTTTCACTTTTGAAGTAAATTTATTGACTCATCATAACCCACTCAATGGATTTATATTCACTTCACTGTAAAAGGGGAGAAAAAAGTTTGAGTCCATGTGCTAACATGATTTTATAGACAGCACTATTGCTATTTGTCTATCATTACTTTGCAAAACAAGGCCTATAAATACAGGTATGTTATGGTTGTGACTAAGTTTAAAGGGATAATAACTCTTCGTATGAGATCTATATTTCACAATAAAAACATTGTAAACAACTCATAGAAATATAATATATTCTGTTTTACCACAAAAAAGGCAGTTATAGCTGTTATTCTGATATCTGAGCTTGTCTTCAGACCACGTGACCTCCATTGACGGCTATACTCTGTTATAATCTCTTAAGAGATTTAAACAAAAAACCAAACTTTTTAGAAAAAAAACCAGGGACTAACTTTGAATGTAAAAATGGATTCATTAACCATTGGTAAGTATGGGAAAATTGTTGTTTACTCCAGGAAAATCCATTTTTTGTCCAAAACGAAGAGTTATTATCCCTTTAACTGATGATGAAAAGTTTTTGTGAAAACTACTAAATACTTCACAGTAAATGAATAATAACAATTTTGTGCATACGATTTTTTGTAGTTGTAAGGGGTTAACAGAAATTATAATAATATAGATAAGAGTCATAAGACTGTTATTCTTTGTAACTTGTGATTTAAAAAAAAAGTGCAACAGCCCTAAAATAAATTATCAATAAGGTAAAACTACAGTCATGTACACATAGAAAGCAACTCTATGATTCATATACTGATATGTAATCTTGTTGCTAACATTCTTGGCCATGTTGGTCACCTCACATGATTTAAGTGGGGTGTAACTGACATGGAAACAAATAAAACCATAAATATACTCACTATCTTTAGAAGTGTAACATTTTCCCTGAGAGATCCTAAGCAGCCCAAGAATGCCAGAATGAAGATGATAATTCCCAGTATAATTACAATGATTGTCACATCAAATATTAAGTCATATATGCTCTCTATTTCTGCAGATCCACTCTGACCAAGGCGTTCCTTCTCAATGTATGCCCACACTCCTATGCCAATCAAACCTCCACCAACGAGCTAAAATTAATCGAAAATTGAAAATATTAAACATTTTCCAATATTTAAATGCACAACAAACAATCTGACTTAACTAAGTAAACAAAGTTGGCTGCTTATAAAAAATAATTATTCACTCTGAAGAAAAAATTAAGAGGGAAATAGATGTACAATTAAAGGCACAGGGATTAAATTATTAGATGGAAAAACTTAATATAATGCACTTTGATTATGGTTTCACTATTTTCCCTTTAATTCTCAATATAATCTTTCAAATGTTCAACAGGATATTTTCAAAACACTGACCATATCTATTTTTCTTGACAATTTTATTACTATACGATCACAATGTGCCTCCAAGTAAAATGGTGAATTTTATTTTCAGTTTTTTTTTTTGTCTAATGAAATTAACATGGTTTAAAGGCCGCATAACTAAGTCCTGTGAATCATTCTTAAAAAACTTTTATTTTGATGTTAATAATTTTATAACTTTAAAAAATGTTAATTTAACGTAATGCCATCAGTGCCAATATATCAAATAATGTGCCAAAAATGCTCATCTCTTGTTCAAAATGAAAATGTGATAAATTTCAGACAAAGCACGACAAATGAATGAATCACTGCATATAAATCATAACATTTCACTCTCGCTGATTCGATACACTGATAACATTACTGCATGCCTCTATACACACTATAGTGACTTGTATTTATCAAACTTACCCAGAAAAAGAAGTTGAAAAAGAACATCAAATACTTCACAATCGGGCTGACGAATGTATCGTCATCTTCTGGGCCACAGCAGCCCATCGTAGACTTATTCCAAGGGGAAATAATCGCCAAAAACAAACACACTAACAGCAGTCCCTCTCTTGCGACATCGGACACTGTTTCCTGAATGCCTTCACTGCTTGCTTCGCGGTAAGGTCGGAGACGAGCTTTTGCAATGACAACCGTAAATATTGCTCAGAAGTCCACCAGTAAGTTAACTTAAAGTGTCATAAACACTTAATAGTGCTGTCACTAAAATAACCCTTCTTATTGCTGCATTTCCAAAGGGTGTACTGCCACACCCCAACCCCAGGTACTTGCGTGTTGGGACTATCTTGACCACGCAGGCGCATTACATTTCCATGAGGAGAAAACAAAAATGGCGGAAGAGCAGGTGAGTTTAGAAATTTCAAATAGCTGGACGTTTTTGTAACGAATGCAACCACAAAATATATAACTGATGTACACGAAATGTGTGTTTTATTATAATGCTTTAATCGTATGATTGTGAAGTAAAGTCATCATTTATGCGTGCAGAAAACCACCTGTTGTTTCAATGCATGATTCTCAACGCAATAACAAATGAATGTTGTGCGTGATTAATCCTGCCTACACTGTCCAGAATATTTCTTTTCTCGGATCAAAATAAGACTGTGTATTTGCAAATGCTACTGCATATTGTAGCTCTTAATGTGAATGTTAATTAAACTTGCTCTACAAGAGTTAATCTTGGCTTGATTAGCACAATGACATTAACATGTACCCTGGATGCTCCTAAGGTTTAAAACAAGGTAAAGGTGAAAAATGTTATGTTGCTCCTTATAGACAAATGCAAGTATAAAATAGTGTTGGCCCTAATGTCAAAAAGAGTAAATGATCTAGTGAGTGGTCAATTCAACGATAGATTGAAACTGAGTGTCTGCATATTCATGTACCTTTTTGCATAAAGGCATTACTAAATGTCTTTTCACAGCTTACAATGATTTTAATGCAGATGATCCAAGAAAATTTCCTTATAATTAAGGATGTGTTGATGTTATACAGGTTTTTAATATTTAAAAGGAATAACATAAGTCACAATTTTGAAAAGCAAGAAATAATGAAAAAATGTATACTGCAAGGTTTTCATTGGTTTCCTATGCATAGTACTGTAATCCATTCTAAATTTCATCGTTGTGTTTCAGGAGCTGGCCCAGCTAGAGGCACTCTGTAAGCAGCTCTACGAGACCACAGATGCATCACTTAGAGCTGAAGCAGAGAAAGCACTAGTCAACTTTGCTGTCTCTCCAAGTTGTCTTAGCAAGTGCCAGTTGCTGCTTGAACGAGGAGATGTAAGAAAATATTTTCTTGTCAAATATTAAGATTTAACAATGATGTAGGATTGAAAAGTGGAAAATGCATGCAGTTACCCAGTTAGTAGCGTTTGAAATTAGAAACAAAGTCTTTGGGACCACCATTTTTTTTTTCAGATGTGAAGAAAATTAGACCTATCAGCAAGGGAAATCACCATTTCTCAGTCAAATAAGTGTGAACTATTTTAGGTGAAAGAGACATAGGCTGATTTATTTTGCAAACCAGATAATATCCCACTGAATTTTTTTTCTTTCAGCCAATAAATTTAGATGTAAAACCTTACAAGGGTTGTAATAGGCTTTAAATTAATATTTTTACCCCATTTTGTTTTAGGAACAAATGATTCAGGCAAATATAGTACTATTGTTTTGTAAGAAATGTTGATATGCCCAAAATAGTCTGTGTTAAAGCTTTTATTATTATTATTATTATTATTATTATTATTATTATTATTATTTTATGTTATTCTTTATTATTTTTATGTCCGAGGGTTGTAGATTTGAAGCCAAATTAGTAAATCATGAGATGTACAGATCCAGATGGCAAGGCAGTGTAAAAGTAAACGTGTTTGTAACACTGTTATATTTTGCTTTATAATTCATTTCAGTCTCCATATGCGCAGTTGCTTGCTGCAAGTACATTAACAAAGCTTGTGTCAAGACCAAATCAGATACTTCCTCTGGAGCAAAGGGTTGACATAAGTAAGTGACATGGCTGTCTGAGAGAGATCAATTTTCCAAGTGACATCAGTAGTTAAACTCCAGTTATTTTGATATTAACCTGCATATTACACCACAGAGAACAGATTTCTGTTGTATAAAGTAGTTGTAGTTGTGACAAAATTGCTGTACTTGTCACATAATTTCATCCATTTTTTTCCCTAGTGTTTATGATTTTGAATGTATTATGATGTAAAACTGTTAAATCTGTTTTATTTTTCAACTGCTTGTCAACAGGAAACTATGTTCTCAATTACCTTGCAACAAGACCCAAGCTGCTCAATTTTGTCACTGTTGCTTTGGTTCAGGTATGTACTTTATACCCATTTCTGAGGTTTGAGTTGCTTTTCCTAATTCATTATATATACATATACTGTGCCTTAGCTTTACTACTCCCTGGAATACATATTACAAATAACATTTCCACATGCGAGAAGATGAAAATATCTAAGTTTTATACATTCAGTGCACATATAAAATGCTATTTGCATATTATTTATTTGTATATACTGCATGCTTGTTTGTTTGAACTGATATTATTTCCTTATTTTCAGTTATTTGCAAGGATAACAAAACTTGGTTGGTTTGATGTAAGCAAAGATGAGTATGTTTTCAGGAATGTTATAGATGATGTGGGCAAGTTTATACAAGTAAGTTATTTATTTATTTGCAATAATATAGTTGCATTGCACTTAATAAAAAAGGCTACAGATTGATGAAGTTTACATAATGTATGTATTCTTTTCACAGGATGAAATACTGTTGTAACAGACTGAAATAATTTACTTGCTACTGTTTAATTTCTTAAATATGAAAGGATGTGAAATAACCCTGAGCTGGATGTTTTCTGTTTCCAGAGTGGCAGCAGCCAACATGTTATGATTGGTGTTCAGTTATTGGCACAGTTGGTGTCAGAAATGAACCAGGTTAGTGAGGTACAGATAAGTTTCACTTTCTCTTTTCTTCTTTTACCCTTCACATATATGCACCTGTTCACACAGTAGATTTCCCTGATGCAGTAGTCATAGATCTGCATTGGTGAATTGTGTCATGATACTGGTTATCTTAATATTATCTTTTTTTTTTTTACTTTTTTTAAAAATGTGTAATAGTTCATCTTTTTGGAGTCAAAAGAAATTATGTTTTAAAGACATTCTAAACTGCAAAACACATTTAGTAATCTGTCATCATTTCTTAGTTCAGATTTTTTTAGTCAAACTCTTTTTCATTTTTGCTCCCTTGCGGGAAATGTGCTGTGTAACTGTAAGGTACCTTATATTGGGTGTATAGATTTATGTCTCCATAAACGGTATTAAATATTTCATATGAATTAAATAAATTGTGTCTGTTCAAATGTACCTCATCTAATGTAAATGGTGTCTTGAATTAGCCAGATTAAAATTTTGACATGAAATTGACACATTATGTTTAGTAACATTATGTTGAAGTTCCACTAGAGTCACTGCTGCCAAAATGTAAAACTTTTTAGCATTATTTCTAAAAGTAAATTCATATTGATATTAATATAAGAAATGAAAAAATTCACTGAGATAAAGCTGAAAATTTGTTTCCCATGGTTGTAGCACTGGCAGACCGAGAATGACCTGGTAAATATCTGTAGTTCATATCATTGGAATCCCATATTTACGGCTGCTGAAATACTGCTTTGAACACCAAAGTTATGTTGTAACTTGATAGAGTTTTGAGAGAGGGCTAAGGAGTCAAGATACGCATTTAATGTGGGCAGTTCAGGGGGAAAGTATCAATAAGAGTACTTGGTTGGATTGACAAAACTGTTTTCTTATGACTGATAACAGTATATACTTTTCAAATTGAAAACAAATTTTATGTTCATGATGGCTATAAACATGANCCCTAGTGTTTATGATTTTGAATGTATTATGATGTAAAACTGTTAAATCTGTTTTATTTTTCAACTGCTTGTCAACAGGAAACTATGTTCTCAATTACCTTGCAACAAGACCCAAGCTGCTCAATTTTGTCACTGTTGCTTTGGTTCAGGTATGTACTTTATACCCATTTCTGAGGTTTGAGTTGCTTTTCCTAATTCATTATATATACATATACTGTGCCTTAGCTTTACTACTCCCTGGAATACATATTACAAATAACATTTCCACATGCGAGAAGATGAAAATATCTAAGTTTTATACATTCAGTGCACATATAAAATGCTATTTGCATATTATTTATTTGTATATACTGCATGCTTGTTTGTTTGAACTGATATTATTTCCTTATTTTCAGTTATTTGCAAGGATAACAAAACTTGGTTGGTTTGATGTAAGCAAAGATGAGTATGTTTTCAGGAATGTTATAGATGATGTGGGCAAGTTTATACAAGTAAGTTATTTATTTATTTGCAATAATATAGTTGCATTGCACTTAATAAAAAAGGCTACAGATTGATGAAGTTTACATAATGTATGTATTCTTTTCACAGGATGAAATACTGTTGTAACAGACTGAAATAATTTACTTGCTACTGTTTAATTTCTTAAATATGAAAGGATGTGAAATAACCCTGAGCTGGATGTTTTCTGTTTCCAGAGTGGCAGCAGCCAACATGTTATGATTGGTGTTCAGTTATTGGCACAGTTGGTGTCAGAAATGAACCAGGTTAGTGAGGTACAGATAAGTTTCACTTTCTCTTTTCTTCTTTTACCCTTCACATATATGCACCTGTTCACACAGTAGATTTCCCTGATGCAGTAGTCATAGATCTGCATTGGTGAATTGTGTCATGATACTGGTTATCTTAATATTATCTTTTTTTTTTTTTACTTTTTTTAAAAATGTGTAATAGTTCATCTTTTTGGAGTCAAAAGAAATTATGTTTTAAAGACATTCTAAACTGCAAAACACATTTAGTAATCTGTCATCATTTCTTAGTTCAGATTTTTTTAGTCAAACTCTTTTTCATTTTTGCTCCCTTGCGGGAAATGTGCTGTGTAACTGTAAGGTACCTTATATTGGGTGTATAGATTTATGTCTCCATAAACGGTATTAAATATTTCATATGAATTAAATAAATTGTGTCTGTTCAAATGTACCTCATCTAATGTAAATGGTGTCTTGAATTAGCCAGATTAAAATTTTGACATGAAATTGACACATTATGTTTAGTAACATTATGTTGAAGTTCCACTAGAGTCACTGCTGCCAAAATGTAAAACTTTTTAGCATTATTTCTAAAAGTAAATTCATATTGATATTAATATAAGAAATGAAAAAATTCACTGAGATAAAGCTGAAAATTTGTTTCCCATGGTTGTAGCACTGGCAGACCGAGAATGACCTGGTAAATATCTGTAGTTCATATCATTGGAATCCCATATTTACGGCTGCTGAAATACTGCTTTGAACACCAAAGTTATGTTGTAACTTGATAGAGTTTTGAGAGAGGGCTAAGGAGTCAAGATACGCATTTAATGTGGGCAGTTCAGGGGGGAAAGTATCAATAAGAGTACTTGGTTGGATTGACAAAACTGTTTTCTTATGACTGATAACAGTATATACTTTTCAAATTGAAAACAAATTTTATGTTCATGATGGCTATAAACATGAAACATTGATTTTTTTGTATAGGAAAGGAAAATTTTGATAGAAATAAAAAAGAAGGATTTTAACAATGATTTTAAGGTGTTTGAACAATGCTTTATGATTAAAATCATTTCTCTGAAAACATTGCTATTCAAAACATTTCAACTCAAAGTGGACTAACAACTGATGACTTCTTAATCCTCTTCACCCTATTTATATCTGTTATCATATAGCTGAATATTTTGGTTGGATAGTCCAATATAAAACCATGACCATGGGACCCAATATTTTATGGCTGTCTACAGTGCTTAAATTTGAATCAGATTTATGTAATTCTGGACATGTTAATGAAATATTGCTGTGATTTTAAGCATAAATTTTGATGATTTTTTTGTGTGAGAATCGGTTACAGTTGAATATAACTGTTGTGAAAGAGTGTGTTTGATGCAGACCAGATTTAAGAAGACCAAGCATGATATTGCATCTTGCTATTTGCTATAAACTAAAAGTAATGGCCTATTGTAAAGGTGTTCTTGTTGTGATGTGTACAAGACTGGTATTGCCTTTGGTGTTTTATAATGAATTCCTGAATAATAATTTTTTAACAAAACTGCTGTGTGTGAACAATTCCCAGTTGTGCCAGAAAGAAATTTGTTGTTCATTTCCAAGTAGTTATTCTGTCTCATGGTCAACCTTGAACTAATAACTCAAGTGTTTGTCTCATTTTTTTACAAAGTTGAAATTAAATGATTGAGAAAGGTGCTTGCATGTGTTATAATCCTCAGTGAAATAATATCTAGTACATTGCTGCTTCATATAAGCACTGTCTTGTATGATAATATATGTAGAATTTTATATTCACACTAATTCTGTTGTAACAAATAGTAATACTATTTGTATTGTATAAATTAGTCATTTGATTTAAAGAAAATTTAGGTATGGCAAATCCTGAATAGCATCTTAGCTGCCTTTTTCTGTTGTAACTTGTGGTAACTATATAATTTAACAAGTAATTCTGCTTGTGAAAATATTAGATATAAGGTCAATTGGAATATGCATTAAGAATACCCAGTGTCAGGGGATGTCTTTGGTAGTCTCAAAAATAGAAGATGAAATTGATTTGAAATCTGCCTTTAATATAAGTAAGAATCATTAATATGTTTAAAAGATTGAGGAAAATATACAATTTGCAAAAAGAATAAATAAATAAATAAATAAAAAGGATAATAAAATGAACTTAAATAAAGAGAAATAAAAAATAGGTTCTGTATCAGGTGCTGTTTCAGGTGCATATTGTTCTCCGTGTCTTGTCTTAGTTGTGCTCCTTTTAGAAGTTCTTGATCAGACAAAATTAGAAGCTTTTGTAGTTCTATGTGTGCAGTATGCTTGGTCTGGTTTCAATACACTAATATGGATTCTCTTTGAATCTCTGTGGCTATTTTCAGACTTCGATTAATCAGGTTATAGAAATGCATATTGTTCAAAGTTGACTGGTTTAATCTTTGAGTTCAGTCTTTTATAGCACTTTCTTTTAACATTTTTGTCAGATGAAAAGAATTGAAGTGACAATTTGAGTTAATAAACAGTGAGTATTTCTTGATCTCAATACCAGCCAAGCATATTGTACTGTACCTTGTTATGTCTCTCTGTAACTTTGAACTTTTCCTGATCTAACCTAATACTAGTACGTGGGTAAGTATACTGCACATGTCAAATGAATAATTGCAATAAATTTGTCATCTTTGTAGGTCCCTTTTATTTTTAAATCACTGTTTGTGCATACAGTAATTCACACGCTTATGCCTTAGATATTCAAATAATTCTCTTTTATTAACTTAAAGTTAGACTTGATTTAAAACTAGTAAAAGTTGTGTGTAGATATGAGAGGAGAACACATGTGAGTGAATACTTACGGAATGTCATATGTTGTCTCCAGAAATTTAATAATTGCAGGGTGTTTGAGAAGGTAATTGAAAGAATAATTTATTGCAGGTGCTTCTCAAATTCTGTGCAGCCAGGTAATGATGAGGAAGCACTGTAAACAGAGCAACACCATGATAGCTTTTTTCAGTTGATTTAATACGTTCTGCATTGAATTATAAAGTTATATTTTTCTCTCAAGTCTGAAGCCAGTCGCAGCCTCACAAAGCACAGGAAGACTGTCTCTTCCTTTCGTGACACCCAGCTTTTCCAGATCTTCCAGTTGGCTTGTAGTTTGCTCAGGACAGCAGCAGGAAATATTAAAAATCTGGACTTTGGGGATGATAGTCAGGTAAACTTGATAGCTTGAAAATTTTGAATATTCCTTAGAAATTATTACACAAATTAGGATTCCATATTCATCAGAATCATGACAGATGAAATTGTTGATGTTTTTATGCACAATTCAGTTTATCTTTAGACTTTGCCATGCTGTCCCTAAATTGTAGTCGTTCAAAAGCAATACATTCTCAGGTGAATGCAACCTTTCAATTTCTTTAAGTAATGTCATTACTCTAAGAATATTGTATTATCTGATAAGACATAAGAATTTCATTCCTCTTTTCAGACTGGTTTATTGAGTCACACCTTAAAGCTTACCTTAAACTGTCTGACATTTGATTTCCTGGGCACCTCTACAGATGAGTCCTCAGACGATCTTTGTACTGTGCAAATACCCACAAGCTGGAGGTCAGGTAAGTGCTAGCTATAGGTTAAAGATTTCAGGTCATTTTTTTTTTTTTTTTTTTTTTTTTTTGTTTTTGTTTTTGTTTTCTGTAAATTTGACAAAATGGATTGAACATGGTCTCTTGTGTGATGATAAAAAAGTAAATTGTTTGTAGAGAGACACATTTTCTACTTATGCAGCATCACATTTCTCACATTCACCAGTCTGTAACTTTGATCAAGGGTCAAAACATGCCTTGTAGATAGATGAACCCTGTAAATTGTTTTGCATGAAAACCAATATTAAAGAAAATGTTTTTATTTCATTTAGAATTTTTTATTATGTACAGACACANTACTAAAAATCATTTGGACCTTGTGTAGTCAGATTTTAAACTTATTTTCTGTCTTGCAGCTTTCCTGGACTTCAGTACTTTGCAGCTGTTTTTTGACTTGTATGCAAATCTTCCACCTAGTTTAGCATCTATGGTAAGTAAGTGAAAAGTTGTAAAATTTGAATAAAGGGCTACTACTTAGGGGAAACGGGCACATTTGTCACTTTACTTATTGTGCTCTTTAGCAAGTTGAGTTGTAGAAAGACCTTTTTTACTTTGGTGGAATCTGAGAAAGAGATTATATCAAGTAGTTACAAAGGAGGGTGGGGAATGGAAGAAAGATGCATAAAATGTTTTTTCCTATAGATGTCCATTGCAGTATTCTGACTTTTTTTAAATTTAAATTTCAGGCCTTAGCATGTTTAGTCAACATTGCCTCAGTGAGGAGGTCATTATTTGATAATGTAGAGAGAGGCAAGTTTCTGAATGAACTGGTATCAGGGGTGAAAGCTGTGCTGGACAACCCACAGGTAAGCTGGGGTTATAACATTGCCTAGGCAAAATCCCAAGTGTCATATTGCTTTGGTCTCAGATTGCCTAGATTGGCAATTCAGTTGTGACCGAGATATATCTCTTTGGATAGGTTTGGATGAATTCATGCAGAATGCAGACAGAAAGAAAAAGTGTTTCCACCTTCACTCTAAAGAATGCTCACTAGAAGTTTATTACTCAGAAATTTGTTTGTATAGAAGCAGATCAGTAACTGTTATGTTTCCATTTTATTTTCAAAAGAGGTTATACAAAGTAGGCTTTAATTGTTACATAATTGCACCAAATTAAGCAGTGTCATGGTTTTTACAAACATTTTGAGCATCCCTGACCATAAGATATAGTATATTACGCTATTGCAATGGTAAGATGAAGTTCAATATATACACATATAATGGAAATTGTTATTTGTTTCCAGGGACTGTCAGAACCTGGGTCCTACCATGAATTTTGTAGATTACTAGCTAGACTTAAATCAAATTATCAACTTGGGGAGTTGGTGAAAGTTGACAATTACCCTGAGATCATCAAAAAGGTTGCAGAGTTCACAGTAACTAGTTTACAGGTAAGTTGGTGGCTTCTTAAGAACCTTAAGTTACACAAGCAGCCTTTGTTATATTATTATTGGGATTGATCTATCAGAAATGTTTCATCTATTTTTAAATAAATATGTTTATGTCAAAACGAAAAATAAGGAAATAAGACTATTAAGATAAACATTGAAAATATAATTTATGAACCAGTTGAGGATATTTTAGGTATTAGTGGGAGGGTACAAGTAAATTTTTGAAATAAATTTCATCATCAAGATGATATATTAAAGCATTACTCTTTTTTCCATAAATGGTTGAAAAATATAAAAAAACTACTTATCTGACCAATTTCATTTCAATCATAAATCTTGGTGTGAATATTTTGCTTTCTAGATGTGGCAGTTTGCCCCCAACAGTATTCACTATCTGCTCAGTCTGTGGCAGAGGATGGTGGCCTCGGTGCCCTATGTTAAGGCTACAGAACCCCACCTGCTGGAGACGTATACACCAGAGGTGACCAAGGCATACATCACATCTAGGCTGGAGTCTGTGGCTGTTGTATTAAGGTGAGTTATCCATGTTGGATTGGTCTTTTCGCTTAATAAATGGTGGGCTCAGTTTTTATTCTCCTTAAATCAGATAATAACAATTGATATTTCAGAAAATAAAATTGTTTATCTATTTTTAAGATGAACTTAAAGATACAAGCAAAAAATATTTATGGAATAGCAAATAAAGTTAACCTGGTTTTCTCCAGGAGTGAATATAGTAGCTATATTGATATGTATTTTAGGGAAGGAATAGAAGATCCACTTGATGACCAGGGACTGGTTTCCCAACAATTAGACCAGGTGAGTGGGATGAATTTTTTTTTTCATTAAAGATTCTCTGTGCTTGCTTGTAAGTCATATTATCACTGATAATAACTGAGTTATGCTATCCTATAAAGTATTAAAGCTTTTTGACATGAGTTGGTGAGTGATTGATGGAATAGGGATGTGCCTCTCTGTGAACATGCATACACTTGTTATGTGTATGTTTACTTGTGTGTAAGAATGTGCAACATTGGTATAAGTATGTGTAGTAGATTATATTGGTTCACTTATTGTCAGTTGTAACTTCTATTTTTTTAGTTTAATGGATAGTGTTATGTTGAAGTCTTTTTGTTTTGTTTCAGTTATCAACAATTGGTCGGTGTGAATATGAGAAGACATGTACATTGCTTGTTACATTGTTTGATGAGGCTGCCAATAAATATCAGGAGTTTGTGACAGCTGGGCAGAGAGGGTTCGATATTGCTGTTCAAGAAGGTACTGCAGCTTATTCTTAAATAATGTTTTCACTATGGCAGTTTATCAGATACTGTTAAAACTTTCATTTTTGCTTCTGGATGTTTTTGTAATGATTTTTTATACTAGTATCAGCAACTTTTTATGTTTTCTGTTTTTGTGATAATGCTGCTCAAAGTTCCCAAACTGTTACTAACCATTGGCCTTTAATAGTGTTATTTCATTTCTTTATTTATATTATTAATCAATATTATAATAAGTATTCTTAGAAATTTTTTCATGATTCAGTTTGTCAGTTCGGCAACAGTTAATCTGTGAAATGTATTCTCTATTTTAGGCCGCCTAACGTGGCTTGTATATATAATTGGTGCTGTGATAGGAGGACGTGTTTCATTTGCTAGCACAGATGATCATGATGCTATGGATGGGGAGCTGGTTTGCAGGTCAGAGCTTTGCATTGCCTAATTTTTTTTTTACAATTTTTATTTTTCTTATGGCAATGCAGCTAATTTTAATTCATCAAAACTTTAAAATAACCATGTATGGAAGCAGGTTTTTAATGTTGTTATCATGATATTTGTTATCAATTATCTAGACCCATGCAGTAGCATAGATATGGGGAAGGGTTTCTGGGGGTCATTGCTGATTTAACATTTTTTTTACTTTTAGTTAATTATATTCTTACATGCAACAATAATTGCCACATAATTTTTTTTCTACAAAGTTAATCCTTGTGTTGTCTTCAATTGATTTCATATTATACATATTTTGTCTAGTATTTTACAATATTAAGCCCCATAAAATGATGAAATAATATTAAGTGAAAGCTATTGAAACAGAATATGTATTTCACACAGGGTCCTTCAGCTAATGAATTTAACAGATTCCCGTCTTGCGGAAAGAGGGTGTGAAAAATTAGACCTGGCTATGCTTAGCTTCTTTGAGCAGTTCAGGAAGATTTATGTTGGAGATCAAGTACAGAAAACTTCCAAGGTAGCATTGTGCTTAAGAAAATAGTAAAAATTGCAATATTCTTAAGTTCAGTTTCTTGCATATAAGTTGTCGTTTTTTGTTGTTTTTCAGGATATTTCTTGATGTCTTTTTTTGTCATGATGCTTTATAAATTTCTATAGTTTTTCTCATTTAGTGCATATGTTTATTTACTGTATCAAAAAGTTTCTCAGCACTATGTCAGGTGTCCTTTGTTCTGTGATCTAGGTATATAGAAGGCTGTCAGAGGTGCTTGGGCTTGGGGATGAATCTATGGTGCTAAGTGTGTTTGTTGGGAAAATGTAAGTTTATAATTACAGTTTAGTCATTTCTGTTTTATAATCATTTGCTGATTTATAAATTATAATTGATTATTATTTCCAAGAAGGTATAAAGAACAAGACAGAATATTATTTCATGATGAAAATTTTTGTGTATTATGTATATGATATTGAACCATGTAAATTCTGGCTTGATTAGAATCTGATATTAAATCATATAAGTAGGGCTCTAATATATTATGTCAGCATTTTATTCCTTTGATGATTTCAGAATCACAAATTTAAAGTACTGGGGTGGAAGTGAGCTGATAATCAACAAGACGTTACAGCTGCTCAGCGACCTGTCTGTGGGCTACAGCAGTGTGCGCAAACTAGTCAAACTAGAGGCTGTGCAATTTGTTCTCAATAGCCATACAGTAAGTACAAAGGAGTTGTGATGTAGTCATATATATTTATGAATTATAGTTGCAATTTTGACGGGATTGATTATCTAGGGGTTTTATAAACACCTTGAGAAAAGTTAAATTTGGGGAAAAATGTGAAATATAAAACCATTGATATGTGCATTTGAAAATGGATACTAGAAAATTGAGGGAGATTTTGTTAGCTGCAATTAAAAAAGGAACAATTCGTTGAGAAAAGTCACTAATGAAAAGAAGATGAACTGCGTCTTTTTAATAAGAATTATATTTATCATGAAACATTATTTTAATTTTAAAATGTCTATTTCAGAGTGAGCATTTCCCATTCTTGGGCACTGCCAATACAGGCACCAATAGGATCAAAGACATGCGGTGCCGCACCATCTTCTATACAGCTCTGGGCCGCCTCCTCATGGTGGACCTTGGGGAGGATGAGGAAAGGTTTGAACTTTTCATGATGCCACTTACAGGTAGGATATTGGATGATAGCTGGGTTATGCCATTAAAGTGATATTTTAAGTTATCATTATTAGCAGGAAGAGGTGGAGTAAGAAAATTACTTATATTCAAGGTGTTTATAGCCTAGTAGAAATGTGTTATTACTGGTCAGTAAGACTGGTTTGTTAAATTGTATCTTGATCTTCAGGTGCATTTGATGCAGTTGGCAACATGTTGGCAGCAGCAGAAACCCCAAATTTCAGGGAAGCAGAGGTCAAGGTAGGTCAAGATCAAGAGTTGAGGTTAAGCAAGTTGGGTAGGTGTCTTAAACACTCTTGCAGCATTTTATATTTAGTATTTACTGAAAGATATTTTTAGTGGATTGTTTGAAGTGTGTGTCATTGCATTTACATTTACATGCAGTTATGTTCATGCATTGATGAGCATAGTGAACTTTGTTTCTGATTTATACATAAAATGTCTTTTTCAGAGAGCTTTGATAGGCCTTGCCCGGGATCTCAGAGGAGTTGCATTTGCATTTAACACAAAAACCAGTTATATGATGCTCTTTGATTGGGTGTATCCTTGAGTTTAGTCTGGAATAATAATAATATTACTTCAATTACCCCCTTTTCCTCATGATTGTAATGCTGAAGGTCATTAAAACTTGAAGAAAAGGATTTTTAGGTCTTGGTAGCTATTGTTTATATAACTGTTTACCGTTATGTTATATAAAAATATTGAATTTTTAATTGAAAAGTATAATTATTTTGCAGATGTCATTGTGAATTTGTCAGTTATTTTCATATCCCGTTCACTTTTCTTGACATGTATGTAGTTACCCTACATATACTCCCATATTGTTACGGGCAGTTGAACTGTGGTACCATGACCCAGCCGTGACCACACCAATACTCAAACTCATGGCAGAGCTAGCTCAGAACAGGTCTGTATGGGTACATCTCTTAAGACGATGATCACAGTAGGCTTTTTGAAAACATGATGCCTCACCCCACTGAAGGTGACAGGCAGTGAGAGCATTATCTTGAAATTAAGTTGTGAATTGGCTATAACTTTTACTATATAATCTCGTTGTTATTATGTCTTATCTGGAGAACGTTTAAATATGTGCAGAAAAGGCTGTGAATTATTAAACGAAGTTTTTTCTTAGCATGGCCAGTTTCATGTTGATTATCGGATACTTGCTACCTTTTTTTGTACTGATCTTGTCAAAATTTTGGTTCAGTTCATTTTAATTTTTTTTTTCACTAATGGTTTTCCATTTTGAAAATTGTCAGGGCATTGTAAGATGCTTTCTGTTTATTTGACATAGTTTTTTTTTTAATCCTGATATGGTATTTATAGAACCTATACGCAATTAGATTCATGAAAAATGCATTTAAAATATCTCTTTTAATTTTCTGTAATCTGCAGATCTCAAAGATTACAGTTTGATGTCTCTTCGCCAAATGGGATTTTGTTGTTCAGAGAAATCAGCAAAATTATGGTGGCCTATGGTAGGTGCATGTTGATTGAGTTAGTTGTGGTCCATTTAATAGTAAATTTTTTATAATGGATTATTTAAACTCGGTATTTAAAAGAAAGTTTCTTAAACTTGCAAAAAGTAAATTGGAGTAGAATATCTTGTAATATTTCAGGTTTGAATATAACAAAAAAAAAAAGAAGCACTATAGTATGTATTCAGAAAGTAATTATTATTAAATGTAATATTTTTAATTTGGAATTTTACATTTTCCAGGTTCACGTATACTTAGTCTTGGAGACATCCCCAAAGATCAAATGTATCCAATGAAGCTGAAGGGCATTTCTATTTGCTTTAATATGTTAAAGGCAGCATTGTGTGGTGGTTATGTGAATTATGGCGTCTTCAGGCTCTATGGGGATGATGCTCTGGAGAACGCTTTGCAAATGTTTGTGAAGCTTCTGTTGTCAATACCCCAAGGAGACCTTTTGGTAAGTCCTCTGCTACGGAGGAGCACTTTGAACAAAATTGAAATAAAACATAATGGGCAGATTGCTTTCATACAGCAGCTAATCTTTTAAGACTGTGAAAATTGCTATAGATACAAGTGTTTATATTATTTAAGATATTGATTTTGTGTTTAATTTTTTTGTAATTTTCTCTATTTTTTTAAACAGGATTACCCAAAACTCAGCCAAACTTACTATGGCCTTTTAGAATGCATAGCACAAGACCACATGACATTCATAAGTAATTTAGAGCCCCAAGTCTTTCTGTATATCTTATCCACAATATCTGATGGGCTCACAGCATTAGGTGAGTTTTATATAACATATACTAGATAAGGATTTTTTTGTTTCTTTGAATAAGTATATGGAACTTAGCTGATCCATTCAACTTTTTCTTTACAAATCCATTGGCAATGTTAAAGATTACAGGTGGTAATAGTGGAGAAATGTGTTTTTATGTTATAATCTGTAGCCTAATTGAAATTCTGTTAATTATTTAATTGCCTTATCAGTTTCAATTACAAACACAGGACTGTTTCTTAACTGTATTGTCACACCCAACTCTGTACTGTCACATCTAACACTCTTGCAATGATAATGTATAGTGCCCTGTGCACTGACAAGATGTACTTTTCTCCTTTTTCCCCTACAACAACGTTTTATATCATTTTCAGATACAATGGTTTGTACAGGTTGCTGTGCAGTCCTGGACAACATTGTTACTCATCTGTTTAAACGCCTCACCAAAAAGCACAAGAAACCCCACCCACATCAGGTTGGAGACAGTGAAACCTTCCTTAGAGTTCTGGAGTTACATCCAGATATATTACAACAGGTGAGTCTGTGTATTAACACCAGACAAATTTGGCATCTTTTGTTTAAACAAAGTGCCACTTCTGTCAGATAATCTGTATGATATGTTATAAAGTAGGAACACCATCTAGTGAATTTTTTGTTGAAAATAATAGAATGTTAAATGCAGTATACTTAATATGGTGAAATTGTATGTAAAAGACAAATTTAGGCCCTATAGAAACGACCTTTTTGCCAGTATACCAAACTTCTCTTTATGACCCCAGTTTTGTTTAACCAGACAGTCACAAGAATTTAAAGTCTGTAATTTTTTCTCTCAGATGCTTTCTACAGTTTTGAATATCATCATGTTTGAGGACTGCAGGAACCAGTGGTCTATGTCCAGGCCTCTTTTAGGTCTCATACTGCTCAATGAAGAAGTGAGTATTAGGCATGCTAGGTCTTATACTGCTCCCTATAACTCGATATGCCTTATATTACTAAGTTAAGGAGTGTTACATGCCAGGTCTTATTATGCACAATGAAAAATTTTCTATTCATGTAAGATCTTATGGGCCTCAAGGAAAGCATGGATATTTAAGTAAAGATTGAGAGTGGAATTATTGTCATTTCTGTGTCTTGATTCCATTACAGCTGTCTCGGTGCACAGTGGGTAAGATAAGATGTCAATGAAGAATGTTAAAAACAATGAATTTAATTTTTTTTTTTTTTTTTTTTAAATTTAAATAATCCCAAGTTTCTTTTTGGGTTAAATTTTTTTTTATCAAATAATGATTTTTTTTTTTTTTAATTTCAGTATTTCAACAAACTGCGAGACAATATTATTTCCAGCCAGCCAGCAGACAAGCAGCAAGCAATGGCACAGTGCTTTGAAAGCCTAATGGATGGCATTGAAAGGTCTTTGCTGACCAAAAATAGGGATAGGTAAGGAATACTTTTACCCTTGTGATATTCTGGTAGCTCCTTGTTAGATAGCATCGAATATTATATTTAATTTCTCAAAGCTTAAAAATCCTCTTTTTGATCCAGCAGATGAAAAGTTCTTACTTCTGTAATCTTTGGCAAAAATTAAAATCACAAAAGTTAAAATTACAAAATTTGTAAATATTTTTTGATATTTTGATAGGAATGTAATTTAAACTTTTTTCTTACCAGGTTTACACAGAATTTATCAGTTTTCCGTCGCGATGTCAATGACTCACTGAAAGCACCTACATCAAATGTTACTTCCTTGAATGACATGATGAGTTAACACTTGGCAATGTGGATATATTCCATCGGATACAGTGGTTAAGGTGATCTTGAAGACGGGGCTCTGGAGTAACGTCAAGAATACTGAGAGCATTCTGTTCGATGCCAAAATCATGGAAGGAAGAGAATCATCCGCAGAGGGGTTATGAAGCAGTGCATTTAATAAGCACCACATCCCAAGAATGAACATATGGTTGCTGGTGTTTTTCTTTTTGATGCCAAAGTCAATGAAAGAATAGATTTGTCATCACAACAGTCGTTTAACAGATGCCCGAGATAGGAAATAAAAACACTTCCACAAAGAAAGCAGTTCAATGTAGCAGTTTTAATAATAGGAGTGTTGTTCCTTGATCCAAAATCATGGAAATGCTTTGAAAAAATTAATAAGGTTTTGAAGAATGAATTCTTTGCTACAATGTTTATGAAATACAGAAAATCAATGTCTTATTTGATTCTTCTTGTGTAAGGAGGCATTAATTCTTATTGGGGGAAAAACCCACTGATCTAGAAGACGTATAATACAGGAAATGCCAAATTTTCATGGTTCCTTAAGAGCCCTGGTGCACTTTGTATTCATGCCAATGGTGAAATGAAAGAAGATATAAGATTGTATTTGTTCCATGTAGTGCTTACCAGTGCTTGAGACAGAGACCCAAATAGCCTTTCCAATCCAATAGAAATGTGGGATATTGTCATGGAATGCTAACTCTGACTCATCTGAAATCTTTTAAAGACTTGCTTATCAAGAGGGAAACAATTTCTGAGTGCATGAAGAAGGGTTGCATTATAAATGTTGATTCAAAATGTCTCGTGGAGTGATTGGGCCAACATGTAATAGTTGAGGTTATCTGCAGTTGGTGACACTGTCATAAGCTTGTGGATGTATTATACATTCAGAACTGTATGTGAATGCATGTAAATGAAGGATGCAAACACAATGCTAAACATTCCGAGATTTTGTTGTCCTACTAAAAGAAGCCTAGTTTGAAAGAGTAATGAATACTTTTAAAAAAGTATAGAGTATTTGCATGCCTTTCAGCATTTCAGTAACTGCCTGTTTATATCTTGAGTAGTTTGAATTTAAGAAAAGGTATGGTTTTACAAGATACAGTCAACAACTCGTGTTCATTTCAGTCTTAGTGGATTGCTGATATGAAATTCAATCACTGACATCTCATTTTAATAGTGCTAGTAGTAATTGCATTAGCTATTCCATTTCAAATGACATCATTTCATCAGCTATCACTACATTTTCATAATTGGAACTTGATCAATTGGAGAAAACTTATCTAATGATGATGTTTTACACTGCCATATTGAATTATAGTTTCTGTTGATGAATTAGTGGGCATTGCTTTATAACAGTAGGCTTGGGATGAAAAGCGCAGAAGGATATGAAATTTGATTTCAGGGGAAATGTCAGTTAAGATAACAATCTTGACTTCTAGATTTCATCTCTGGAAAAAATTGTCTATTTTTTTGCAAAGCTCTATAGTCTACCCTCTGTACAGAATTACCAGTGGTTGGTTGGTGGACACTTTAAAGGTCACAATTCTCTATCAAGACATCAATGTGGTTTCAACAGAATAGGTATTGGGTCCCTCACAAAGAATTATGCCAGATGATGCCCCTGGGTTGTTTTGTTGGAAGCAATAAATACTGTTGACGGTTGTATTGAGAGTGATGTGGCAACAAAAAGTCTGTATTCTGTGGATGGAACAGTTTTGCAAAGGGTCAAGCTTCTGAACTTTGTTTATATAATAAAGTGATGAAAAAATTCATTGAATCAACAAAATTATTTGTTGTTATGTTATTTGTTGAAGATTCATCCTGGAGCTGTTTTTGTTAAGGGCATATGGTTGCTTATTTTCAATATGCTAGCTGTATAAGGCAGATTTTGAAGAGCTGACACTGGGAAGCAAAAAGTGAACAAAAATAATTGCCTGACAAAGAATTTCAGGAAAACTTTACAGGACCTCTTGTCAAACATGCATCTACCCTTTGTTTACAATTTGAGCATTTCAATCACACACACATAAAACCCTCCAAATATGCAATCCAACTCACTGCATGCATGCCAGGAAGTATACAATTATGATGTTAAAATAGCCCAGCTAAGTTGGTTAACAGTCCAGCAAACATAGCCACTGTCTCATGAACGAGAGGCAATTGGTAGTTTGCATTTTCAAAGTACTTCTTTCATTTATTCAAAAACTACTAAACCAAAAACAACTGCTGAATTTCAAGAAATCTGCAAATTGATATACAAAATATAGTGAGCTGTATTATAAACAAATTTCTGAAATATTTTTAAAACTTATGTAAAAGATTATGTTAAAGCATATGCATCATGCAATACCTCACCTAAAATTACAAGAATCTCTTGTGCATAAAAGATTGAATACAGAATGATAACTGCATTATCTTTTACATCATTTTAAAGCAATTTCCTCAAATCCTGTGTTTCAATTCCTCATAGAAGTTGATGGCACGTTTGGATTTCAGCAGACAATCTTCCCAATCTGGCCAGAACTTTGCCTTCATTCGCTCCAAATACTGGCAAACGTTTATGCATTCCACTGAAAATAATTGTTTTGGCAAGTGAGGAAACTTTCCAAAAATAGTAAATATAATAATAATAGTAATAATGAAATTGGTAAAGAGATATAAAGCCATTAGATACAAAGCTTCATTCTGATGGAATAAGGTAATAATTCAACCCATTCAACCCATGCAAAAGAAATTTTTATGAAATACTGCATTGAATTATTAGTTTTATAAAACCAGTTTGCTAAAACAGGAGAGAAATATTTTTGAAGCTATTTTATTTGTGTTACCCCTATTATGCAAAAACTGTAAAAGGCTTTTAGTATTATTTACCCATCATTACAGTTTTCAGAGGGAGTCCATCTGGCATATGCCACAATATCTGTGACAGCATCCCCAGCAGAACACAGTCAATCTCACAAGGCTGATCCCCCATGAAAAAGGCCTTGTCCCCTGAAACCAGTTTCATATAACTCATCAGTCTGTCTGAAATGAAACTTAAGTGTTCTTTCATGCAAAAGTCTCCCATGGAGATTTATTACTGCAATGTCACCCTGTTTGGGCCCCTTCTTAGATTCTCTTATGCTAAGATACACACCCAGAAATATTTACAGTATTTGGCCTGTCTTTACCACATATCTGAAAAAATAATTATTATTGCAACAGCCTTCTCCAGCAAAGAGGATGGTGTTTAATTGGCTAAACCCATACCTAGAAAGGCAGAGATTGCTCTCAGATCATCAGCTCCTATCTGCTCCACTTGTTCTTTGGAGTGGCGACCTATCCCATGTGACCAACTACTTTTTCTGAAGTAGCGTAATATTATTTTTCTTGCAATCCAGGAGAGAGGCCATCTGACGTATAGCCCAATGAAACTGACATCTATATACGAATATGTCAGCAGAATGCACCTAAGAATAAATGGAAATATTTAGAAACTGAATTCAATCCTTACCGGCAATACAGATATTTGTATTTTAATTGCTTTGCACACCTTGTCTCTACTGTTTCTGGTTCACTTGCAAAGACAAAACCACGGGTAAAATGGAAGAAGACGAAAAGACACCACTCACTAAGCACACACATTCTGATAATGTTAAGCCTAGGTCCCAACTACGTTTTGGACGCATGTTTTTTAGGTTCCTTGTGTCCGACTAGGACGCAGCTAGATCGCACATAGCAGCTGTTGATCATGTCGAAAAGTTTCTATGTGCTGTTTGTGTCCTCCAAAAGCTGCACGATGGACGTGCTCCTCATGCACGAACTCCCATGTTTTCCACCCTTTTTTTTTTTGGCCGTAGACCACACGTAGCAGCCCGTACTTTCAGTTGGGACCTGGGCTTTATGTATTTTCAGAAGGTTGGGTATATTGATCCAAGTTGATCCCTGGTAATTGGAAATCTCAATAGTTCAAATATGATGATGTTTATGGAAAAAGTACCAGATTGAGTTACAGAGCAAATAGACTATCCAATAAAATGAGAGGCAACTTGACCAATTTGATAAAATATGAACATAATTTTTCAAGATGGGCATATTGGTTGACGAAAATATTATGGTTTAAGGCAATAAAAATGGAATATACCCAATGCTAATTTACCTCTCAAATACTAGTACCTTCATCTTGGTGGCCAATAAAAATTACAATAACCTCTCGACTCAAATCTTTTCCAAAATATTACTCCTCATTTCAGACTAGGTTATTTATGTAAATTCCAAAAATATAAATCTCCTACTTCCAGTTTCACAAAGAACATCACTTCCATTACTGAGGTACAGTTAAAAATAAAGTTTGAGAAAAAAGTCATTGCTCTGCATTTAACTGAAGTTTATTGCCACCGACTGTTCCTACTCTATTACAATTATTTCATTATGAAAAAATTTCTCTGTGCATATTTGACAATAACTATGGCCTGTTTATTTCGTATATCCAAAAAAGGAACAAAAGCAATCAACATTCACATTTTGTAATTGAAGGGTTCATTAAAATATACATAAAGAAACACAAATTAAGACAACCATACAATAAGTATGATTCAATAAACTCTTCAATAAACTCTTGAAATCACCAAACAATGTAACATATAATAGTAAAGCATAATAAGCTCTAGAAACACTTTTAATTCCTTGGAAAAAATAGGTGACTATATAAAATGCTTTACAAATTATTTGATTTACACTGCAACCTGAACTGTTAGCTCTAACAATAACCATAACCTGAAATATTCAAGAAAAAAGCGATTTGTATCGAAAATATCAAGCACATTATGTGCAATCATATATACATGCTAACATACAACGTGTATCAGCATTGTAGCATTAATGAAGGGAGGTATAACATACATTTTTGAAAAAAAAAAAAACAAAAAAAACAATACAAATGTTGTTAGTTTCCAAAATGTGTACTTTCAAACAGGTGAATTATAAAAACTCTGCTTATTTCACAAGTGCACAACCATTACATTCATAAAATCAAGTGTTAACTGTATATCAAAATCAAATCAGCATTGTAGCAATTGCATACAGAGGTATACAAATGAACATACCAGTATTGTTGCTAAAACAGTAAAAATGTTGTTACTTTCCCTTAACACTAATACCAGAAAAGGAACCACAAAAAACTTGTCAAAAATATATATATATATATTAACATCGAAAATAAATTGTATAATATGTTGGACTATCAAAACTATTTCATCAATGACTGTTATGATCCCCATTCTGCATCAGTAAAACTATGGACCTGTTCACTGAGCCAAAATCTACCTTTGCTGGGTCCTTATGTGTACATCTGAACATCAGTAGCACCAAGAATTAAGAGATTGGGTAGGCAGAAATCATTCAGTAGTAAATGGTTGATACATCACACAAAACTGTATCCATAGTTAAGCAATAGTCCTACGGTTTATGTATACATACAGAAAAAGAAATCAAGCTTCACATGTTCAAATCATTTGGGTAGTCAATTATGTTTATCACCTGTACTTATGAAATTACTTCTGACATATGTAATATATCCACAGGGTCAAGGTACTGTTGGTGCGAATTTCTATCAAAGCACTTCCCTTCAATTGGCATCTCCACATTTAATAATTCTTCTCATTTCTAAGTAAGTAAAATTATTTGCTCCTCAGTTTTTATTCCATTGATTTATGTAATCTTCATCTTATATTCTAACACTGTATAATCTTATTCCATCTTCTTTCTTTCAGGTTCAGTGATATTTTCATCCCAGTCTGGCCAAAAGCGCTCTTTCATTCTGTAGCAATATTCAATGAGGTTTGGAAACTCTTCTGCAACGAATGTCATAGTATAATCATATATTAGATAGTATAATCACAAAGAACCCTTAAAGCCACAATGAACACAAGGCCTTTATACAGCAAAGATTTAATTTTCCTGGAAATTATAGCAATTTTAACAAGGTATATCCCATTCAAAACCATATAGCAAATTAAGATCTAAAGCCCATTTTCAAGTTCCAAAATTCAAATTTTTATCATTTTGAGTGAAATCAGCAGTCTCAATATCCATTATGAGAGTGGCTCAAAAATGAGAAACTTGGTATTCAAGCAAACCATCCTTCCTAAAATACAATACAATTCAGCAATGCTTGACAGACTTTGGCTTGTATTCAATAAAGGCAACTGACTCTCAGAAGATTTAGATTGAATTACATTTAGATACAATTGAAGATAATATCTACCAACTTCACTAATCAGGCACTGGCCAGTGAACCTACTTTTGATCCATATTTCATGTGGAGAATTTGGCATTTGCCAGACTACTTGGGCCAGCATACCAAAGACGGCACAGTCCGCCTCACAGGGCTCATCCCCCATCAGGAATGGCTTCTGACCTGAAATTATCAACAGGTTATCTTCATATATTAGGTACCAGGTATTCTTTCCATGGCATGTTTAAATGGGATGCTGCACCAAGCAATTTCATAAATTTATAGAAAACCATACTCATATCAATTACTGTAGTTTAAGACTTGCATCTACCTTAAACTTTTCTTGAACATTTAGAGGTCAAAAAGGATAAAAACATAGTAAACATACAATTATAATGATGATTGATACTTTGTAGTACCAGTAGTTTATGACAGTTGGCATTATATCCCTTACTAAATACCAAGTCTAGTATAGAGGCATTAACACATATATACATATGTTACCATATTTGTTTAAATAAAATATAACACCTGAAAGTTAATCAGGCTAATAAAAGGTAAAGGTGCATGTAAATATAATGCTAAACTTTGGTTTATGAAAATAGCATCACAGTAAGTAAAGAAACAACTGAAATATCTGTTAGATGCCTCTAGTACAACTGATGAGTTAGTGCAATTGTTGTCTGGCTGAAGCAAAATTAAAAACAAATTACACGCAGCTACACCACTAATAGCATGAGGTACACTATTTCCTGCAAAATAAAGCAGTTTGTTCAAGATTATACTGAAAGTTAAACCGGTGAATACATTGTCATAGCATACACTATTCAATTCCTACACAATTTGAAAGTTATTATACCTCTGAATGCTTTTGTCCAACACGTAGGACTTTTTCAGTCAATCTGAGACAGTTCCTGGTGAACATCATTCACTATAACAATGCCCCAGATGACTTTCTGATGTACAGTGTATTTTATCTGTCTGAATCTACTAATGAAACAGCAAACCATCTCCATATATCTATCCTCACCTTAAAAACTTAATGTTCTAATTTAGTTCTTACTCAGATAATCAGACAAAGCTTTCAGGTCATCCTTCCCAATTTTTAACACCTCCTCTTTGCTGTGACGTCCTATTCCATGTCCGTGCACTTCAGAATTGACTGTTCTCCTTATCAAGAACAAGGGCACAGACAAGCGGAGATTTTGAAACAAATATTGCAGATCCTTCTTTGTCCCATACAACCAACGCTGCATGACTAACGTCCTGGAAATGCAGAGTGCACTTTACCAGTATATTAGGGCAAACAATGAGTGTTAGACCTTTAAAAAACTTAAATCACCAAGAAATTTACTCAATACAGGGGCGGATTTAGGCCATCTTCTGGGTCTTCCGGAAGACGGTCAGATTTTCAAGTTTACATTGACGGGTATCTAATGTTTTCTGTCGGAAGACGGTCAAAATAGAGGATGGTTCAACAAAGATCATTTAGAAGACTGTCAGAAAATATCCCTGGTTCCGCCCCTGCAATACCATATAAAATTTAGTAGTCTCATTTATAATTATATAAAAATTTTACAAGTGAAGTAAGCCAGTCTCCATCTCCAGTCTGGTTCAAAAATTAGAAATTTAACACTCAAAACTTAATTTACTGGTTGTAATTTTGTAAATATCTTGTTGATTTAGGAAAATTAATAATGATCTAATTCCCAGGAAAAAAGTTTTGTTATATTATTTTTAACAGTACTGTTATGTTAAAGCTCAACATTCATCGTGTCTTGTAACTTTATGAGAAGTGATTTTAAAATCCTTTAAAGTTCTAATCTCCCTTTTAAATAGCCAGATCTTATAGCTAAAGGGGATGTTGCATCCTTTATAAGAAAACATGTTATGAAATATCATTCATTATCACAGTGAAATGAAAAACAAAAAATAAATGTTATTCTGACCATAGACAAATATAATCTGCCCAGGTTCTGACTTGACTTAATCCAAGTTTGAATATGTAACCAAAAGGAGCATTAAAAAAATATTAAAATTAAGTTTTTGAAGAGTGTATGATGAAAGGTGTTTTTCTAATAAACACAGGTGTCAAGCCTCTGGAGACAGTCATACCCTGACCTTGGTAAGAACATGAGATCTTTGCATAGACAGCATATGCCGTGGTGTATTAAGGGATGTCCTGACCTCCCCCTCCCCTTCGATTTCTGAAAAAAATCACACCAATGGCCCTCTCTTGTAATTAAAATTTTTACCTCCCCCCCCCCCTTCGATTTCTGAAAAAAATCACACCAGTGGTCCCCTTTTAAAATACAAGAATTTTGACTAGCTGAATCATAGTTTTGAACTGTACCGAATGGCTCCATTTGCCCTCTAAATACCAAAAGGGACAATCAGATATTTTACAATGGTTTTCCTTGCCATTTGAAAGCCAGTCTTCTGAAAATGTTTAAGAAATCAACTCATTTTAGTTACATACACTGGAAAAGCAAGGAAACAAATTCTCTAACATGGAGCTGTGTTATACAAATGAAAATCTTGGTGTTTGTGAGTTTTAAAATATGCCAGTTATTGAGGGAATTAAAAGCAAAGCATCATCTACAGTTCAATTTCAGTCTATTACTAATCAATCCACCATTAAATCAACATTAGTAGTAGTATTACATGAGGGAAATTGCTTTGTTACAAAAATAATGTAAGGGGAGGAAAGATTAGAAATCACAGAAGAATCAGACTGTGAGTTTTAAAAATGGAAATAATCTAAAACAAAATTACCTAAGAAGGTGCCAAGAGCTTGGATATCTTGCTGAAATATTGACATGACTTCTTTGCTGGTGTGCCTTCCCATACCTTGGGCTTTAGCATATCCAACAGCTTTTCCTTTTAATTTGTAGTAGAAGAAAAGGGCAACAGGTCTTGGGTAAGGAAATAGTTTACAAACTTCCTTTTTGGAGTCATGAATCCAGTTCCACGAAAATAAAACCCTGAGATGTAAATGTCTGTATACAGTTATCATCTTCTGAGCATTCAATTTTTTATTTCCCTTCTTTTCCTTTATACTTTTTCAAAGCAGCTTATATTGAATAATATGATCCTTTTGCTGTAAACTGATTCAATTAAGTGATGACTCATTGTAGTAATTTTGTATGAAAAGGTTGAACACAATAAACACTGAATAACAGTTGCAACACTTTGAAGAGGCATGTATAGAACCTGATTTGGGACTTATTGTGCTTTTGTTTATTTGATGGAGGGTAATGTGTAACTGTTGCTTGCAGTTACAAATATCACCATACACAACTTTATATTATTCAATTAGTTATATTGACCTTAACATTTAAGAACATTTCAGCATTTCAACATTTCTCTAGCAAATTGTGTTGTGTAGTTGTTTATATATCATATGGTATATTTTGCTTACATATAATATAATGTGTACATGTGCAGTTGTTATAATAACTTTACACATTGATTTTTTTCTATTGCATATTTTCAATGAATAAAGTATTTTTGAAACATATCAATATAAATGACATAAATGACATGGAGACATTAAAAAAGGCCTGAGTCTGAAAGAAATACAATGTAATAACCCAAATGTTACAAAATGTCATCAAACTGAGTCCAGTGAGTAAAGCCACCAATCAATCTAACACCCCATTTCCATAGATTAGATCGACCTACTTTAGATCGACCTAACTCCCTGGGGGTTCACGCTAAATAGCTGTCAGCCAGGCGGACACGAAAGTTAATTACCCCCTTAAAGCTTGTAGTAGGCGGGATGGACATTTAAGTCGGATTATCTGAAAGTAATCTAGTGAGACTCCCCGCGGGGATAGATCGATCTAAAATCTATGGGAATAGAGCCTAAAAGATCACAGTTTAAATTCCACTTCACAGAATGTAGCACAGTTTGTATTCACTAACCATTTCCAGCAGTACTGAAAATTACACTTGCCATTTAATTTGATCTTTCTTTTTTTTATTCAGAACTAACCAAACATCAGGTACTTCACAAATAGCGCATGAAAAATTCACAATAACTCAACAACCATATCTCACCAGTAGAGATTCTCCTCTGTCATCTTCTGGAAAGCTCTGGCAATGGCCTTCTGTTCAGCAGTGAGGTGGGCATTAAGATCTATACCACGTTCCTTGTTCAGGTACTCAATACAGAACTGAGAATCTGCCACTGCCACACCATTGTATTCCATCCATGGCGTCTTCCCCTTCGATGACATTTTGCCTGTAAGGTCATTCTGAAATTGGAGTTTGTACTACATTAGTGAACAAATAAACAGCATGCTAAACTTTTGAATCTTCCAGGAACAGATCTTAATCTGTATATTCCTTGTGTGTGTTAGAACAACCAGTCAACTAATGTCACAGAGCTTGACAAGGTCTACAGATGGCACAGAGAATGTAAAGAAGGCTCTTCATGACAGTAGAAGTCTTGTATATTACTAAGTTTAAATCCTTGACTTGTGATGAGGTTTTATGTTTTATTTATTCAAGGTTTTAGTTTTTACACATGCTGCTTTTTATAACCTAGCTCCACCATATATAATTGATCTAGTCAAACATTATAGCCCTCAAAGATCCCTGAGGTCTGGTGACATACTTTTACTGAAGGTTCCCAAATCAAAGTTAAAAACATATGGTGACATATCATTTTGTGTAGCTGCACCAGTAGATACAACTTAAAACAGTTTATTTGGGCTTAGAAAATGTAAAACATCATTTTTGACAAAATGGGTAAAATGAATGACATACTTCACTGACCCAAATTATCAAATTTTAAAAGTCTCAAATATTACAGCATTAATTCTTATTTCATCAAAGTCTAACCAAGCATCAAACTGCTAATTTACAAGGCTTTTCAACTGGGAAATACCTCATAAGGAATGTTAGCCATCCTTAGATAGGTTTCCAGCTTCAATGGAAAAGGTGAAATACTTGGTGCTTTGGGGCCACGTCCAAATTGATACAGGATCACTGTGTCTTTGGGGGCAATTTTCTTCTCCCTCAAATGTAAAAATATGTCAGTATAAATAAAATAAGCACAGGTTAATTACTTTTTTCATGATGACTATTTTCATTTGAAAATGAAAATAGTCATCATTAAAATAACAATATGGTTGTTCACAAGTTCCTCAAAATTTGAAATTCAGGGAAATATTTTAAAAAAATTACCCCCCTGCCTTGTTTCCCATTATAACTCTTCTGCGTGTGCTTTGGAAGATACTCTACTGCATATATGTATCAATTTATACTTCCTATATTGCACGCAAAGTGACCAAAAATCTTTAATTTGATTATACATACGCCTTCTTCACATGCTTACTATTCTGCTTTGGAAGTCCTGGTGTTAAATTTTACACTGTATGTTCATGCCTAGCTCCTTTACTCAGTTGTTAAGTGACAAATTTCAAGTCTCTTTTACGGGGGCGTCTCGATAGTCCGAAGGTTCATTGGTCCAATGGTTCATTGGTCCGAAAAGTGGTAACATTTTCATCGATTTTTTAATCAAGGGTTCATTGGTCCGAAGGTTCTATAGCGAACATTCGGACCAATGAACCTTTGGACTATTGAACCTTCAGACTATTGCTACGGCCCCCTCTTTTACATTATTAAGTGGGTGAAAATTAAGTGGGGCAACTTTTGAGTCATTTTTGAAAGTGGCATCTAAAAAAAAAAATAACAAACATGGTGTCACTAAACTTAAACATTTTTTTTATCCAAACGAGATGGCACAAAAATTTTAACAGCTTATTCGTACTCAGACACGTAGTTATCTGTGTATTTTAATACATTTTTTGAAATTTAAAAATGTCAAGTCTCTAGCCCACATGAGCTTAATTAGAACAAGGAGTTATAACTCCTTGATTAGAAGAAGGTGTGGACCCAAGTTTAACCCTAGCCCGAGGGCATGCAGTTCATGGGCCTGCGGGCCCTTTACTTCAGCCTTAACTTTAATGCACATATGTACATATGCAAATTTCTATGCTTCAATCAGTGTAAGGCTTTACTCTGACCTTGAATACATAAATGTAGCACTGCAGCCATGAGGCCCTATCTGCAGCAAATTCGGAGCAAAATTACATGTAGGGTACATACTATAAGGGGCCTGCCAACTTTATTCACCTTCGAGTAAACCGCTTCACAATGACGTATCCAAAAACAACACCAGCTACTGCACAGCTGAGTTTAAACCACTTGGAACCAAGTATTTCATGTAGATTCTCCATTGCGCCACTTGCTATGTTCACACCTGTACTGTACCCACTATTATACTAGACTGTCACCGTGTGACCTACTTTTCAGGCTTTTTAACCTTGGACTACTTCAAAATGGGGGTTGATTTACATGTAAAATCGCGACCAATTTTCGTAAGGCAGATAACTTCCATTTCTATGAAATGCGGTTCATTTTAAAACGCTTCTGAAACACGCAGAAAAAATTCAGCTGGAGAATTGCATACAGAATGTGATCTTCAACTATTTATACATCTTTGGACGAAGTTTCTCTAACGCACTCCTATTACAGAGGCGGATCAAGGATTATTTGAAGGGGGTCCCCCCCAACCCCAGTTGGCGACCAGAAATCGAAGGGGCGGGGGGGGGGCAGGACCAGCCTGACCCCCCTACCCTCTTAATCCGCCACTGCTATAACGCTCTCTGGTAACTCGGATGAATAAAACTACTTTTCTCGCCAACAAAACCACAGGTGGAATATGACGACTCCTGTTTACGCCATACCAAGTCACATGTCATCAAACCTAGCAAATTATTCTTTAGTCACTAGGCCTACGTGCAGATTATAAAAAAAATTCGCCCAAGCTCGTAAATCATGGTAAATACGGGTGCTAACGCAAAAAAATTCGCGCTAGGTACATCCCAGTTGAACACCTGTAGTTAGAGACCACGCCTGGCTCAAAACCTTCCTTTTGGATATGGAAAACGTTATTTTTAAAACATGTCCGTTCATCTAAAGAACGACCTAAACGGTGACGATAATTACTCACAGTTAACTCTTACGCATAAATAAAATTCGTTTCATTTTAACAAACACGGATATGCTATACGAGTATGAAAATGACCCAATGGCATATTTTATGTCCAAATATATTTCAAAGTTACTTTATTGTCTTTCAAACTTTAAGTACGATTAATCCTTCAAATGTTCCAGTATATTGGCCAGCAATTTCAAAAGGGGGGGGGGGTTCTTTTTCTTAAAAATTGGACCTTTTTCCATAAAAACGTCTTGTACATAGATCAAATTTTACCCAGAGTGGACCTTTTCCCAGCAAAAGGGGCGGCTCTCTCGAACCCCCCGAACCCCCCCTGGCTACGGGCCTGTTGGCAGTAAGAAGGTCTGACTGATATCCATATTTCTTTTCGAAATACGTGGAAGACAACCCGATCTCAAGGAATCATGATTCACTTAGAAATAAGTTATTTTTTAAAAATCGTATAAACCGTCTTATCCAAGTGCAGGAACGGTACGGGTCGAGCAGTGAATCGTGAAAAAAAGAATTTGCTTTTATTTCTCGAGAAAAATATCGAAAATATCGAATATTAGGCATAAAATGTCCTGTTATATTACGATAACTGAAGTCGTAATAACGAATACCTTAGGATTTTAAAACCTCTTCATTATAATTTAATTATTTCTTAATTTTTCATTCAATTTTTCAGCCCCAAATTTTCATTCAGGTCACAATTTTACTTTGGCTTCGTGACCTCTGTTCAAAACGCACGGCGAAAAAAAGTCATTTCGGCCCGAACTGTAATTATGAAGATACAGTTTTCTACTTACATACAAAGAGGTACGTCTTATCATTGTAAAATCAGCATTTTAGATCGTCAGTCGTTGAATACAATGTCATTTTAACTTTGAAAGTATTCAGAGAAGTCTGTCGACCATCAAGGGTACATGTATTACATTATTGGGGACGAATAATTGGCGCAAAATAAACAACTTCATGCAATGGAAAGGATTCAGGGCCCTAAATATCGGTTAGGAGGGGGGGGGGGGGNAAAACCATGTGTACCGCCAGCGCCTACGCTGGTGGTACAATAACCACAGTTAAATTACTATTTTCATGATGACTATTTTCATTTGAAAATGAAAATAGTCATCATTAAAATAACACTATGGTTATTCACAAGTTCCTCAACATTTTAAATTTGGGGAAATATTTTTTAAAAAATGTTACCCCCCTGCCTTGTTCTCCATTAATTACTACTTTTCTGCACATGCTTTGGAAGATACTCTATTGCATATATGTATCAATTTTTATTTCCTATATTGCACACAAAGTGGCCAAAAATTTTAATTTGATTACATATGCCTTCTTCATATGCTTAATATTCTGCTTTGGAAAGTCCTAGTGTTAAATTTTTAACTGTGTTCATGCCTAGCTCCTTTACTCAGTTGTTATGTGACAAATTTCAAGTCTCTTTTACATTATGAAGTGAGTGAAAATCAATTAAGTGGGGCAACTTTTGAGTCATTTTTGAAAGAGGCATCTAAAAAAATTAACAGACATGGTGTCACTAAAACTTAAACATTTTTTTTATCCAAACGAGATGGCACAAAAATTTTAACAGCTTATTCGTACTCAGACACATAGTTATCTGTGTATTTTAATACATTTTTTGAAATTTAAAAATTTCAAGTCTCTAGCCCACATGAGCTTAATTAGAAGAAGGTGTGGACCCAAGTTTAACCCTAGCCTGAGGGCATGCAGTTCATGGGCCTGCGGGCCCTTGACTTCAGCCTTAACTTCAATGCATTGAAATACATGTACATATGCAAATTTCTATGCTTCAATCAGTGTAAGGCTTTACTCTGACCTTGAATACATACATGTAGCACTGCAGCCATGAGGCCCTATCTGCAGCAAATTCGGAGCAAAATTACAGGGTACATACTATAAGGGGCCTGCCAACTTTATTCACCTTCGAGTAAACCGCTTCACAATGACGTATCCAAAAACAACAACACCAGCTACTGCACAGCTGAGTTTAAACCACTTGGAACCAAGTATTTCATGTAGATTCTCCATTGCGCCACTTGCTATGTTCACACCTGTACTGTACCCACTATATACTAGACTGTCACCGTGTGACCTACTTTTCAGGCTTTTTAACCTTGGACTACTTCAAAATGCGGGTTGATTTACATGTAAAATCGCGACCAATTTTCGTAAGGCAGATAACTTCAATTTCTATGAAATGCGGTTCATTCTAAAATGCCTCTGAAACACGCAGAAAAAATTCAGCTGGAGAATTGCATACAGAATGTGATCTTCAACTATTTATACATCTTTGGACGAAGTTTCTCTAACGCACTCCTATTACAGAGGCGGATCAAGGATTATTTGAAGGGGGTCCCCCCCAACCCCAGTTGGCGATGGGTACGGGTTCGAAAAAATTAGGTATTTTAGAGGGCGAACGGTGCCATTTGGTACGGTTTAGAACTATGATTCAGCTAGTCAAAATTCTAATTTCAAGAGAGGACCAGAAATCGAAGGGGGGGGGGGGGGCAGGACCAGCCTGACCCCCCTACCCTCTTAATCCGCCACTGCTATAACGCTCTCTGGTAACTCGGATGAATAAAACTACTTTTCTCGCCAACAATACCACAGGTGGAATATGACGACTCCTGTTTACGCCATAACAAGTCACATGTCATCAAACCTAGCAAATTATTCTTTAGTCACTAGGCCTACGTGCAGATTTAATATAAAAAAAAATTCGCCCAAGCTCGTAAATCATGGTAAATACGGGTGCTAACGCAAAAAACTTCGCGCTAGGTACATCCCAGTTGAACACCTGTAGTAAGAGACCACGCCTGGCTCAAAACCTTCCTTTTGGATATGGAAAACGTTATTTTTAAAACATGTCCGTTCATCTAAAGAACGACCTAAACGGTGACGATAATTACTCACAGTTTAACTCTTACGCATAAATAAAATTCGTTTCATTTTAACAAACACGGATATGCTATACGAGTATGAAAATGACCCACTGGCAGATTTTATGTCCAAAAATCTTTCAAAGCTACTTTATTGTCTTTCAAACTTTAAGTACGATTGCCCTTCAAATGTTCCAGTATATTGGCCAGCAATTTCAAAAGGGGGGGTTCTTTTTCTTAAAAATTGGACCTTTTTCCATAAAAACTTCTTGTACATAGATCAAATTTTACCCAGAGTGGACCTTTTCCCAGCAAAAGGGGCGGCTCTCGTAACTCGAACCCCCCCTGGCTACGGGCCTGTTGGCAGTAAGAAGGTCTGACTAATATCCATATTTCTTTTCGAAATACGTGGAAGACAACCCGATCTGATGGAATCATGATTCACTTAGAAAAAAGTTACTTTTTAAAAATCGTATAAACCGTCTAATCCAAGTGCAGGAACAGTACGGGTCGAGCAGTGAATCGTGAGAAAAAGAAATTGCTTTTATTTCTCGAGAAAAAAATAGATTTGGCACGAAAATATCGAATATTAAGCATAAAATGTCCTGTTATATTACGATAACTTAATAATAATTTATAATAATAATAATAATAATAATTTATTAGATAAAATTGCAACCCTAAGGTTGAAGTTGTACAAAGAATGTTTAAAAGAAAAATTGACAATAAACTTTAAATTATAAAACAATAAATTATTCTTAAAATACTACAAATTAAAAAGGCATCCATAATTACTACAAGTTAAAAAGGCAATAATTAATAAAGGAATTTATAAAACGTTCCGTCTTCACTTTTGGTTGTAAGAATTTGGTGTTGTTTCGTAAAGGGCGGGTGTTTCTTTCAGGCAATAAATGACTTAACTTTTCACAATTTTTTAATTTTGTATAAAACCTCTGATACAACAAATGTCTACGTTTGTCTAGGGTGTCAATGTTACAAACTTTTAAGGCATCATCATAACTGAAACCCGGGCAAATAATCCTTAAGGCTCTCTTTTGAACTGATTCTAGACATTCAGATTGCTCAGCAGTCAGACCTGGTCCCCATACTGGACAGGCATATTCTAAAACTGATCTTATTACAGACTGGTAAATAGTTAATAAATCTTGTATGTCCAGTTTTGCCCTCTTTAGCTGTCTGAGATAAAAAAAAGCTTTAAACATGCCTTAGCATACATGATTTGGATGTGTTCAGCCCACTTGAGGTCTGGGGTTAAAATAACACCAAGTATCTTAAACTTTTTGACCTTTTCTACACGTTCACCATCTATTTCCAATGTTGGTATTGTAAGATTACAGTTCTTGGTAAAATTTATGTCCATCAACTTAGTCTTCTTTACATTAAGTTTCATCTTGTTTTGCTTGACCCAGTCAGCCAATTGATCTATTGCTTGTGGTAGATGCGGTGTTTTGCCAAATTTGCAAATTTCGTAAATGGAGGTATCATCGACAAACTTAATGTCTGAACAACAATTTTTCAGGTCATTAATCATTGCAAGGAAAAGAATGGGACCCAATTTAGTGCCCTGAGGCACTCCCCCCACTAGCTGAACCCAATCAGATTTAAAGCTACTGCATTTTACTCGTTGCAACCGTTCGCAAAGGAAGGAATAAATCCAACATCTTACAAAGTCTGGTATCCCTTGAATTTCTAATTTTTTCATTAAGATATTGTGATCAATCCTGTCGAAGGCTTTAGCAAGATCTAAAAATAACACCTGAGCATAAGACTTTGTTGTGGGGGATGGTTCAAGTCCTCCTAGTAATTTATGAGTTAATTCAACTAAGGCATGAGTAGTTGAGCTATTTTGAATGCCACCAAACTGTGCTCTATCAATTTGCAGACCATCTGTAACCCACTTTGTAACAAAAGACTCCAAAATTTTACTTAGAACTGGTGTTAGTGATATAGGTCTAAGATCTGACTCTATTACCTTTGGCTGATTCACTTTTGGAATGGGTATTATCTCTGCAGATTTCCAAATTTTTGGTACCCAACCATCCCTTACTGAGCTATTGAAAATTGCACAAAGTGGTTTTGACAAGTAGTCCGCAAAGTCTCTGAGAACCCAGTTTGGAAATTGGTCTGGACCTATAGCTTTAGACAGCTTTACTTTGGATAGTAATTTTTCTACATCCGCTGTGCAGATAACAAATTTGTCAGGTACTATGCAACTCTGCTGGGCATTACCATCAGGTTGTAAAGGTGACAGGTCTTGGCTGACACTATGAAAAAAGGTATTGATTTTGTTTGCCAGAACTTGAAGATTGCCTGAAGATGTGCTATCTGCCAGCGGTTGGAGTAAAGTGACATTGTTTTGCATCCCAGATAATTCTTTTGATTTTTTCCACCATAGGGAAGAGTTGGACTGTTTCAATGATTCTATTTTATTTTTATAGTATTTTGACTTAAGTTGTTTATTTGTCCTATTGATTTTGTTCCTGAGTGCATGTGAAAGGCTAGTCTTTTTTATACAGTGGTGTCCAATTCACTTTCATGAGCTCATGAGCGAAAAGAATTTTTTCATTTTTTCCCATGGCGCGACAGCGGATCTTTTCCTCTTTATCACATGGATTGCGGTTATGATTTGCAGGAAGGGAGAGTACTGCATTGTGGTCGGACTGTCCTATTGGCGGTAGTATTTCGGGCACCTTGTAATATTGGTAAATGTTAGTGAAGATTTTGTCCAGTATTGACTCTCTTCTTGTACCCTTCCTGACAATCTGTCTCAAGTTGAAGGCTGTCTTAAATTGGTTGTCAGGGAGTGTGTTAAAGTCACCAATAAGGAACACTGCTGAATACGAGTGAACCCTGAGGATAGAGTCAGTGGAAGATATGATATGATATGTTGGATCATACTCTTGTTATCTGCACCTGGAGGGTGGTAGATTGCGCCAAGGATGATGTGTGGTCGGAATAACGAATACCTTCGGATTTTTAAACCTCTTCATTATAATTTAATTATTTCTTATTTTTTAATTCAATTTATCAGCCCCAAATTTTCATTCAGGTCACAATTTTACTTTGGTTTCGTGACCTCTGTTCAAAACGCGCAGCGAAAAAAGTCATTTCGGCCCGAAATATGAAGATGCAGTTTTCTACTTACATACAAGGAGGTACGTCTTATCATTGTAAAATCAGCATTTTAGATCGTCAGTCGTTGAATACAATGTTATTTTACTTTAAAAGTATTCAGAGAAGTCTGTCGACCATCAAGGGTACATGTATTACATTATTGGGGACGAATAATTGACGCAAAATAACTTCATGCAGTGGAAAGGATTCAGGGCCCTAAATATCGGTTCGGAGGGGGGGGGGGCAGTTGGTCCTTTAAGATAAAAAGAAATTGTAGGGATCTTTATTATGAAACATAAGCCATTTCTTTTCACCCAAGTCTATCGAACTCTCTTGAATTTACCTTCAGTCAGCGTCTACAGGGGTGGATCAGGATTATTTGAAGGGGGTCCGCGGGGGAGTCAAGGGGAGCCGACCCTCCCCTTGGCGTGGTGTTCGGGGCCGATGAAGGTGCCATTTGGTACGGCTTAGAACTATGAATCAACCAGTCAATATTCTAATTTCAAGGGGGAACATTGGTGTGATTTTTTTCAGAAATCGAAGGGGGGGGGGGTCGGTTACAGATCGCACATTTAATTTCCAACTTATTCAAAACGTCGTTAAGTTTTTTACAAACATAATAACGAAGGAAAATGCTTTTCTACACTTCATTTTTTTAAATCAAATAGCCCAATAAGAAGACAAAACATTAAAGATAATTGACAATTCTTCTCTGAGGTTTTGCGACAAATTTTGCCTTCGATACTTTAACAGTGCCGCTTTTGATAACAGTATTGAGTATACCAGAAAAATACAATTAATTGAAACTAACATTTAACATACCCTCTCCCACGGACAAAAAGTAAAATAAGAAAAGAGAGAACGCTTAATTACATCGTTTTTCTATGGGTTTTTAATGATGCAACACATTATTTGAATAATACTTTTATCTTAACTATATGAAAAGCAGTTGTTTACCATCAAAATTCAAGGAGAGCATGTAGTCTGGATGATTGGTGCTATATATTGGCCAAACTGCTCAGAATGTGGAAAAAGCATGAAACTTGCCACAAATGTTCTTTGGACTATGCTGATCATTTTCAAGGGTAGTGCCCAAAATGGTTCTTTTTGATGGATTCACCTATGCCCCCACCTCTCCCCCAATAAATCCAGTCCTCAAATGGTGACAACAAACGTAAAACACTGAAAAAAGCATAGAGTGTTATTGGTATGGAATGATCTATCTATTAAAGTTGCTTTTGGTTCCGTTCCATTAACATTTCATCCAATATCAATATTTTAAACTCATTCAGAATTCTGCATGAAAGACACCCTCCCAGGATGGTTTCAGATTGCCTTTGATCTATAGCCACCTTTCGCCATAAACACTTTCCTTGTGTCTTCTCGAATGATTGTTCATAAAACCATCATTCATATAGCTTTAATGCTAAAAACGTTGCAAACATCATGGGGAACAATCTCAAAACAAAATTTTTCTGTATCCAAGTCATAACCACAAACCCTTTCTGTACTAGTAGCTACTTAGTAACCACTTGACAAATTGAAAACAGCTTTAAAGTTGTTTTATCAGATCAACCTGCTCTTTATTCTCTTCCAGAGTATCAGTTACTATTAGTATCAGTTATGTATCTTATTTTCCATAGAACTTAGAGCAAACTCGTATTACTGTAATTGTCATATTCCCCATTGCTTCATTTGTTTGATAAAGGGGAATTAAGAGTAAAAACAAAATAAGTAAAATACTCAAGAAACTTTGGGAAGCAATAAGGAATTTATTGTCACTCAAATTCACCCCTCTTCGCCATTAGTCTTCACCACAAAGCAATTTCCTATGTAATAATGTATTAATATGTATCTTTAGTCCTTTGATAATTATATATTGAAAATCTGAGTGCTCCAGTTTTCAAGTTAAGAAATTATTTCTCCTGTAAAAGAAAAAGATAACTCTGAGCTTCAGCCCTAGAAAAATGGGATGTCATAGATTATTTTCTTTTCAAAACTGAATCTTAAAAACAATCCAATTAACGTGAATATTTTACATGGGAACATATTTTATCTTACCACTTTGTGTTAAAATATAAAATAAAATGATACATGACAGAGTAATACATGTAGAAAACAATTAACTGTAGATCTTCCGGGATGGACACAAAAATATATTAATCTAGATCTAAATTAAATGCAAAAAGAAAAGTAATGATTTTTTTTTAAGTGCTGGAAAAATTTGAACATAAAATACCAGGTGGTTCCCTTGTAAAAATTAAAAATTTATATAATTTTTAGTTACAAAACTAGGTGAAAAAATATAATTCTGATTAACTCTATGTCAACTCAATATAAAATATATATCAAGATAAGGAATGTTTCCACATAAATATGAACTGATTACAGTATAACCTAATAACACCTTCAATTATTATTTCAAAAGATTAAAATATGGAAGACAAATCAAGATGCTGATAAGTTTATGCATTTTCAAACTGCTTCACTGGTGATTCTGGGAACAGAACTAGAAAGCGCAAAAACAAATTGTCCACCTAAGCATTACAAAGTTTTTTCTTTAGAAATTTACTCCATTGTGCAGCACATTCACAGGCATCATGGCACTATTTCCACTTTTGATTTTAGTTCAAGAGATAATCCTGCACATATCCCATGTCAACAATACTTGGTTGTTTTTTCTTCATTCAATGAATACATCACTCCTCTTTCCACGTGGATTTATATTTTAGGTGTGCAATAGTACTTTCCCATCAGTACAGTTTTGGGTTTAGTGATAGGCACCTCTCAGTCTATTCCTATTCCGTCATTTGGATTCAGGTTAACTATTTGCACATTGTACAACTGTTATTATTCCATCTTCTTTCTTTCAGGTTCAGTGATATTTTCATCCCAATCTGGCCAAAAGCGTTCTTTCATTCTGTAGCAATATTCAGTGAGGTTTGGAAATTCCTCTGAAAGTTGGAAAGAAAATTACTTCTGGTTAATTGGTAACAGAAAACTGGTTTGGTATATCTGGTTTCATGAATCAGTGAAATAAATGTGAAATGTAGTTACTTTGTTTCATTTATTTCACTCATTTAAAGAGATAAAATGTAATGAATAGTGTCATTCCATCCAGGAGGGTTTCACACTATCAACAACCATCACCTCCTCCCCCTTGCTTGTCTAAAAACTTTGAAGATGGGGGTTAAACTCTCACTTTTTTCCAGCAATTCAAAACAGTCTCACAACTTCACTTCTCCCAAAATTGGAGATTCTCTCTATCCAATTTCTACAACAACTCACATCACATAAGACATCCAAATTACACAGATGTGGAATGTAATGATATCAACAGATCAGATCCAAATGTGGATTGTATAATATTAACAGATCCAAAAAAGAATATGGTATCAAACAAGCCATTTGTTGTAGACAAACGTGTGAGATGTCCTTTGACTATATTACATATGGTCCCTCATAGACTCCATTCCCACAGAATTAGATCGATCCATCTGGATCGACATAACTCCCTGGGGGTTCACGCTTAATTGCTGTCAGCTCAAGAGGCTTAAATGTCTGTCATGCCTACCGAATCAGCTAGGGTAAAGATAATTCCCCTCTAACAGCTTTACTAGGCGTGACAGACATTTAAGCCAAGTTGACAGAAATTTAGGGAGACTCCCCAGGGGGATAGATCGATCTAAATATCTGTGGGAATGGTCTCATAGTGTTATGTAACCACTGCCACACTGACCAATGAACCTACCTTTGATCCACTTCTCATGTGGAGAATTTGGCATATGCCAGACAACTTGGGCCAGCATACCAAAGATGGCACAGTCCGTCTCACAGGGCTCATCCCCCATCAGGAATGGCTTCTGACCTGAAATTATCAATGGGTCATCCTCATACATTAAGTTATGGGCATTACCTAAATATCATTAGTAATTAGGTTGATGAATAAAAAATTAAATGAAGGAATTTTAAGTAGGGTGCAAAAAGCCTAGCCACAGGCTTGCTACTTCCTTGAGGAGTTGTTTAAAACAAAGTGTAGAGAGATGTTAAACATCAGATCCAATAAATTTAGTATTGAGTTGTTATTAAAATCATCCATGTGATAATGACAAAAATGTATCAATAACTAAAAAAAAAAATGCTAAACTATAACATGCATTATTCTCAATAAGTATCATTGGAAGTGATAATAAAACAATACATCTCTACAATTAATTCTACACCTACAAAGAAAATGAACAAAATATCTAAAACATCTCTAAAAATTGCACAAAAACAGCAATTAAAATGACAATGTATTTTTTGTGTTTAAGCTACATGAAAATTAAATTTGACTTTAAAAATGTTTTCATTTGTAAGTCAATGGTCGAGTAAAAATTCTTTAAAAAATCATTTGAGTATATAAACAGTAAAAAAATCAAATAAAATTAATACATTTCTCTCTTCTGATCATGAATTGGTAAATCCGTAAATCAAGCAGGGTCATCTAGCACTGCAGTACGTAGGGAAGGAATGAAGAAAGTTAGTCTATATAGCATCCCCAGTACCTGAACCACAAGATGCAAGATGTAAGCCTAATTGATGTAAATATAAGCCTGATTTGGTATAATTTTGTTGGAATATATGCAGAAAAACCATCGTAAGTTTCTACACCTTAACAGATTTTTCTCCCAAAAGGATTTTCCCTGCATAACACTTAAGAACACTGCATAAAAGGAAACAGCTGAAAATATTAAATAAATAAATAAACAAATAAATAAATTTGGATAAAAGATGTTTTTTAAACAGTGATCATTATGCTATCAAACTTGCTTCTGAATTAAAATACTCCAAAAACAAATATTTTAAAGACAAATTTCTACATCAGCTTGTATCTTGTTGGAAGAACAAGCTGGCTCTCAAAGAAGCGAGGTGTGCAGAACCAAATGTTAGACTGTCTTGTATTGATGCTGTTGACCTGTGCAAATTTTAATTAAAATTTTAAAAGACTGGATTAAGTTGATATAAGTGAATATTTGAATGTTAAAAAACTTGTATTTTGTCACTTTCATTGAGTTATGATGAATAGATTTCAAACAAACATTTTTACAATTCACAGTCTATCAAAAGCACCAATCACCTCACTAACTAAGCACACGGGACCTGGTAAACTAATTTAGTCCTTACTCAGATATTTAGACAAAGCTTCAAAATCTTGTTTTCCAATCTTATAAATATCTTCTCTACTGTGACGCCCTATTCCATGTCCTTTCATTGCAGACAGTATTCTGCGCCTGACCAGTGGAAGGATAAGACGAAGAAATAACCCTCCTTGAGGAATCAAATACATCAGAACCTCAGTCTCCCCATATAACCAACGATGACAAACAAGGGTCCTGAAAATGCACAATATCAATACTGCTACTAATCATATTTATTTTAGTAAGTTCATAAGATACCTCCAACAGCAAGTTCTCTTTCCCAGCTTTAAGTCTGTAATATGAAGCATGACATGGATTGGAAGGAGTTTTCAAGACCTCTGAATTGCACATGATATTGGGGAAACACATTTGAATACATTTTTTTACATTGAAGTTAATGAAATGGTTTCCAAAGTATGACTATCTGTTTTCATGCAACAGCAGTTCACAAACCTTTTGTAAAGACTTGCCTATGTTATACAGACATCAAAACACATATATGAGGGCAAACCATATTATAGCTTTAAATCCTTTTTTTACCTAGAGCATGTATCAATTTTTTAAAGATCTCAACTTTCATCCTTCAATATTTTGGGCTCCAAATTGAAAACCAAATCTCGGATATTCTTATGAATGCTACAAATAAAGACACTTCTTTATCAATTATCTGACATTGCCTGCAGTTCATACAGCACAACACTTTTTCTCTGCCATGGAGTCCCATTTCATAATCACAAGATTGGTTCTGCAGTAGGCATCTGTAACACAATTATCTTGGACCTGTGAAGCAGTGGTCTAAAAAAGCTGCCATATTTCCAACGTTGGACAATTATGGTTTGAAATGTCATCATGAATCAGTAGATATAACATGAATAAGCAGAGTCCAGAGCTGATGACTATCTATTGACATCTATATAACCATGCAATGACTGAAAATATTATTTGTTTTGAGGAGTTATTTTAAAATGACAAAGCTACAAAAACGAGGTATCTTGATACATAAATAATAGGGGCAATAGAAAGAAGGATCCGAGTACTTACTGATCTGCCGACTAAATATGGCGGACCACAGTTCAAAAGCAATGCCGCTGATACCTGATGGTCTCCCCGACTCCACATGCACCTTTAAACAGATAAAATCTCTGCTCTGAAGTTTAATTGCTAGGCCCCTGCAGCAAAGGGGTGTGTGGAGGAGGGGAGACCATCAGGAATCACTTTTGAACTGTGGTCGACAATATTTAGTCGGCAGATGAGTAAGTACTGGGATCATCCATTCTGAATGGGGCCATAGATTAATGATCAATTTAATTTGCCTTTTGTGATAAAGAGCAGTGTATTTCTATGCTTGTGAGCAATATTCTACTATTTAATTTGCTTTTTGTAATACAGAGCAGTGTATTTCTATGCCTGTGAGCAATATTCTACTATAAGTCTATATAGGCAGTGTGTGTGTGTGTGTATAAATATATACAAAAACATCTTATACTACTATTTAAAAAATAAAATGAAAATCAATACTTATAACATGCAGATTGGAAGTTAGTATTAGGGCAAAGTAAGTGCTTTTAGTAACAGATATCAAATGGATAAATGCATTATAGGATCAAGGATGGCATGCTCCACACTGTAAAAAAAAAACACCAAACCTAATACCTAAAAAATCAGACAGAGAGTTTAAGTCATTAAAGCCAATGTGAAGTATGTCATCCTTAGCGTGCCTCCCAATGCCATGACCCCACATTTCTTGTTGAATATTCCTTCGTATCAATCTGGACAGTAACCACCGAACTAGACCTTTGTATGGTATCACTCTGTATAAAGCTGTAAGATCATCTCCAAATGTGACATAGCACATAGTCCTGTAAAACCAAACCAATGACAAAGACTTTTATCATTGGACTGTTAGGTTAAAAGATTACCAAGAAGGAAAATAAAAAGATAGGCTAAAAACAATATTTGAAACAATGGAACAGAATATAAAAACGTTTACATTATTGTCAATCTTATTCTACTGCTACACAAACCTGTATTGTGAATCTTTGTCTAATCACACTCATTAAAGTATGCAAAAAATGACTAAGACTCCATTCTGGTGTAAAAAAAAAATTATCTGGCTATGGGCAATGCAGAAGCAATAACTTCCAATCGTCAAATGTGTAAGTGAGCAGTCTACAAAAATGTTTCAGTGATAAGTATAAATATCAACAGCAAAAATATCCAGTTATTTAAATAACCATAACCTATCAATAAGTCATAGTTATGACAAAAATAGCAGAAATAAGATGGAATGAGGAACAACAGAGTTAACTGTAACCTAACATCAGTGCTACTTACTGCTAACTTGGACAACCCCACTTTAGTTCCAATGGGCTTTAAATCATGATTATAGTTATCAACATTAGAGCAAAAGCTTATTTATAAAAAGAAAGAAATATTGGATAGTTGTCAGATCATTACTTTCAATGAATATATATATACTAAAATATCAATAACTTGCTTACTGGCCTGTAGAAAATTTAAAGAATCACTAACATTTTTTTTCTTTTGGAGATTTTAATCCAACTTAAACATTATCACTAAAACTTTGTTTTTCTTTAAATTTCTCACCAATAGAGATTCTCCTCTGTCATCTTCTGGAAAGCTCTGGCAATGGCCTTCTGTTCAGCAGTGAGGTGGGCATTAAGATCTATACCACGTTCCTTGTTCAGGTACTCAATACAGAACTGAGAATCTGCCACTACCACACCATTGTATTCCATCCATGGCGTCTTCCCCTTGGATGAGAATTTGCCTGTATGGTCATTCTGAAATTAGAGTTGGTACTCATTAGTAATCAATAAACAACATGCTGAATTTTTTTTAAATGGCTTTTGCTAATGCCCCTATTTCACACAGACCACGAATCCCACGAATCGCCAGGAATTGACAAATTTCAGGATTCGTGATTGAATCGTAATCAGTCTACTAATCAGTTCGTGAAGTTCTTAACAGATTCGTATATATACGTAGTCAGTTCTTGCAATTCTTGATCAATCACGAACTGAATACGATTCAACAACGAATCCTGAAATTTGTCATTTCCTGGCAATTCGTGGGATTCGTGGTCTTTGTGAAACAGGGGCATAAAAGAGAGTACCTTTTACTAAGAACTTGATCCTTTCCAAGCTAATAGAAAAATGTCTCCAGATGTCTTGAAGTCATGCACAATGTAAGTTTATCAAAAAACAGATTGTCAATTGTCATCTTAAACTTGATCTCACTATGACTACGCTATCTATACTTAAAATTTCAATGTCAAAAATCTTATATCAGATCATTTATTGCATACCTCATAAGGAATTTTAGCCATCCTTAGATATGTTTCCAGTTTCAATGGAAAAGGTGAAATACTTGGTGCTTTGGGACCCCGCCCTATCTGATACAGGATCACTGTGTCTTTTGGGGCAATTTTCTTCTCTCTGAAATATCAAAATTTTACATTCAACCAAGTTGTTCAATGTATGTGCTGAAGAAGGTTTTTTCACCAAAAACAGCTTATCATCACAGTTTTACATCAGGGTTTATATGCTGGACTGAAATCCATGAGTAAAAGGGTAAGCACAGTGCATTTCAGCATAGTGTGCAGGTGTGAAGGATGCAGAGAGACTCCTTAATTAGAACTAAAATACTGACACAATCAAAGTGTATGTGCCAATGTCAGCATAAACAAACTTAAGTGACAATAAATGAGAGTTTATAATCTGACGGGTAAAATGACATTGATGGAAAATGGTGACTTATAACTTAAAATCAGATACATCCAGTGTCTGTATATTAAAATTTTTGAAGTGTACACGACAAAAATATGAAAAAAATCAGAGCCTTTATTATATATGCAGTAACATCTGTGAGCCTAGTTCAATAACTCAGTGACAATATTCAGTACTTATCAACCAATCAGATCAAACAAAGTTACTCAGTGATATAATGGCATTTCTCTTATGTATGAAGTTCAAGATGGTCATCCTGGTCACACAATAAAATAGCAGATCTAGCTACTATCATGTTTCTAGCACTCTCAAAAGGACCATCAAAACAAAATGTGGGCCCATTCCCTCTCCCCCCCCTTTCTTAGTTAAAAAAAGAAACAGTTTCCTAGATCTGCCAAAGAGCAAAAGTAAATGGCTGCATGTGCAGAATTCAGAAGTAGTCATTTCATGCCATGTCAAACAGTATGTAACTTACCTTTGAAAGTATGCCAAAGCTTCTTAAAAAGATGAAAAATAAAAGGAAGTTAAAATCTTATGGGCATTTTTTAAATCAGGTGAGATGCAGTTTCTAGTAGCAATACCATAAACTACCCTTTTCTTCAATGATTTTCTGCCGACTGGGGGTCATGACTTCAGCACAGAAGATTTATGATAAATCTAGGATACTATAATACATATTTTATATGCAATAACAACAACAACAATCTGATTCTACCTACAACAGCTGAGCAGTTCTGATCAAGGCAACCTGTACAGAGCTATCTAGCTGTTTACTCTGAAGACAGCCAACATTTATGGGTTATGTAATCTTAGACAGGGTTCCCATACTTAGACGGTCCCCAAAACTCCCTGAAATTATCAAGGTATATACCAAGATTATTTGATGAATCAAAAAAAAAAAAAAAAATNATACCGACAAAGCCCAAATTTTATGTGGAACGAGTTGAGATTATAGGTGACCTAAATCCAAGAGATGGGTACAGGGGCCCTTACTGTCTAGGAGGAGAAGTGGTAACGGTGACTTGGCGGCGGAGCCGCAGGAGCCGGCAGAACATACGGGTCAGGACTAAAACCATGGGTACCGCCAGCGCCTACGCTGGTGGTACAATTAATACATTTCTCTCTTCTGATCATGAATTGGTAAATCCGTAAATCAAGCAGGGTCATCTAGCACTGCAGTACGTAGGGAAGGAATGAAGAAAGTTAGTCTATATAGCATCCCCAGTACCTGAACCACAAGATGCAAGATGTAAGCCTAATTGATGTAAATATAAGCCTGATTTGGCATAATTTTGTTGGAATATATGCAGAAGAACCATCGTAAGTTTCTACACCTTAACAGATTTTTCTCCCAAAAGGATTTTCCCTGCATAACACTTAAGAACACTGCATAAAAGGAAACAGCTGAAAATATTAAATAAATAAATAAACAAATAAATAAATTTGGATAAAAGATGTTTTTTAAACAGTGATCATTATGCTATCAAACTTGCTTCTGAATTAAAATACTCCAAAAACAAATATTTTAAAGACAAATTTCTACATCAGCTTGTATCTTGTTGGAAGAACAAGCTGGCTCTCAAAGAAGCGAGGTGTGCAGAACCAAATGTTAGACTGTCTTGTATTGATGCTGTTGACCTGTGCAAATTTTAATTAAAATTTTAAAAGACTGGATTAAGTTGATATAAGTGAATATTTGAATGTTAAAAAACTTGTATTCTGTCCCTTTCATTGAGGTATGATGAATAGATTTCAAACAAATATTTTTACAATTCACAGTCTATCAAAAGCACCAATTACCTCACTAACTAAGCACACGGGACCTGGTAAACTAATTTAGTCCTTACTCAGATATTTAGACAAAGCTTCAAAATCTTGTTTCCCAATCTTATAAATATCTTCTCTACTGTGACGCCCTATTCCATGTCCTTTCATTGCAGACCGTATTCTGCGCCTGACCAGTGGAAGGATAAGACGAAGAAATAACCCTCCTTGAGGAATCAAATACATCAGCACCTCAGTCTCCCCATATAACCAACGATGACAAACAAGGGCCCTGAAAATGCACAATATCAATACTGCTACTAATCATATTTAGTTCACATGGTAACTTTATAAGGTACCTCCAACAGCAATCCCAAAAATTACTCTCTTTCTCAGCTTTAAGTCTGTAATATGAAGCATGATGGGGGTTGGAAGGAGTTTTCAAGACCCCTATATTGCACATGATATTGCCAATGTGAAAAATGAGCAAACCAGAAACAACCTAATACTTTGAAAAATTCCTTCTTTAGCATACGTCCTAGCTACCCTTCAAGTACAAAGTAATTAATGTACGTAGACAAACTTATTACCTACTGTTCATACAAAACAATTTTTTTTGGAGCCAAAACATGGCAGATGTACACATTCTGTGCATTGATATCCAGATTATGCAAGAAGGCCCATAACAGTGATTTTTATGTTTAAAATACCAAAACAAACATTTGGGGAAACACATATGAATACATTTTTTAAACTAAGGCCACACTTTTTTAATTTTATGGATGACATCCTTCGCGCGCATGGATTTTCGCCCGTTCTCNAATAAAGACACACTGTTTGATTGATATTTGTTTTATTGATTGCTATACCAAATGAATGCATGAAATAACCTTAAATAGATTTGGTAATATGAAGTATATCATATTCATGACTTTTTTTTTTACATTTCTACGAAGTATTCACAATGCTTTAATATTTTGAGAGCATGGATAAAGACATCTTGTTAGTTTGATACGTGTTTCTGTGGTTAAATTTGTGTTTCCAGCTGTGTACTGACAACATTCCTTTACTTAAGCAGTTTTTTTTTTTCTGGACTGTTTTTTTTTTTTCGCCCTCTCGCACCGATTTTGGGGTACCCAGAGGATGTCATCCATAAAAATAAAAAAGTGTGGCCTAAAGTTAAAGAAATAGTTTCCAAAGTATGACAATCTGTTTTCATGGAGTAAACCTTTATATTAGTAAAAACCTGCCTGTTATGCAGACATCAAAACACATAGGAGGGCAAACCATATTAAAGCTTAAAATCCTATTTTTTTTTTTACCTAAGCACATATCAACTGTTTTGGATCGTTTTAGTCTTACAAAATTTCATCCTTCAATATTTTGGGCCCCAAACTGAACACCAAATTTCAGATATTCCAATGAATGCTACAAGCAAAGACACTTCTTTATCAAATATCTGACATTGCCTGCAGTCCATGCAGCAAAACACTTTTTCTCTGCCATGGAGTCCCATTTCATAACCACAAGATTGGTATTGCAATAGGCATCTGTAACACAATTATCTTAGACCTGTGAAGCAGTAAAAGTCTAAAAAAGCTGCCATATTTCCAACGTTGCACAATTATGGTTTGAAATGTCATCATGAATCAGTAGATATAACATGAATTCAAGCATAGTCCAGAGCTGATGACAGTCATATCTATTGACATCTCAATAACCATGCAATGACTGAAAATATTCTTTGTTTTGAGGAGTTATTTTAAAAATGACAGCTACAAACGAGGTATCTTGATACATAAATAATAGGGGCAATAGAAAGGAGGATCCAAGTACCTACTGATCTGCCGACTAAATATGGTAGACCACAGTTCAAAAGCAATGCCGCTGATACCTGATGGTCTCCCCGACTCCACATGCGCCTTTAAACAGATAAAATCTCTGCTCTGAAGTTTAATTGCTAGGCGCCTGCAGCAAAGGCGTGTGTGGAGGAGGGGAGACTCCCAGGAATCACTTTTGAACTGTGGTCGACAATATTTAGTCGGTGGATGAGTAAGTACTGGGATCATCCATTCTGAATGGGGCCATAGATTATGATCAATTTAATTTGCTTTTTGTGATAAAGAGCAGTGTATTCCTATGCTTGTGAGCTATATTGAATTCTACTATTTAATTTGCTTTTTGTGATACAGAGCAGTGTATTTCTATGCCTGTGAGCAATATTCTACTGTAAGTCTATATAGGCAGTGTGTGTGTGTGTATAAATATATACAAAAACATCTTATATTACTATTTAAAAAATTAAATGAAAATCAATACTTATAACATGCAGATTGGAAGTTAGTATTAAGGCAAAGTAAGTGCTTTTAGTAACAGATATCAAATGGATAAATGCATTATAGGATCAAGGATGGCATGCTCCACACTGTAAAAAAAAACACCAAACCTAATACCTAAAAAATCAGACAGAGAGTTTAAGTCATTAAAGCCAATGTGAAGTATGTCATCCTTAGCGTGCCTCCCAATGCCATGACCCCACATTTCTTGTTGAATATTCCTTCGTATCAATCTGGACAGTAACCACCGAACTAGACCTTTGTATGGTATCACTCTGTATAAAGCTGTAAGATCATCTCCAAATGTGACATAGCACATAGTCCTGTAAAACCAAACCAATGACAAAGACTTTTATCATTGGACTGTTAGGTTAAAAGATTACCAAGAAGGAAAATAAAAAGATAGGCTAAAAACAATATTTGAAACAATGGAACAGAATATAAAAACGTTTACATTATTGTCAATCTCATTCTACTGCTACACAAACCTGTATTGTGAATCTTTGTCTAATCACACTCATTAAAGTATGCAAAAAATGACTAAGAATCCATTCTGGTGTAAAAAAAATTATCTGGCTATGGGCAATGCAGAAGCAATAACTTTCAATCATCAAATGTGTAAGTGAGCAGTCTACAAAAATGTTTCAGTGATAAGTATAAATATCAACAGCAAAAATATCCAGTTATTTAAATAACCATTACCTATCAATAAGTCATAGTTATGAAAAAAATAATAGCAGAAATAAGATGGAATGAGGAACAACAGACTTAACTGTAACCTAACATTAGTGCTACTTACTGCTAACTCGGACAACCCCACTTTAATTCCAATGGGCTTTGAATCATAATTATAGTTATCAAGATTAGAGTAAAAGCTTATTTATAAAAAGAAAGAAATATTGGATAGTTGTCAGATCATTACTTTCAATGAATATATATACTAAAATATCAATAACTTGTTTACTGGACTGTAGAAAATTTAAAGAATCACTAACATTTTTTTTCTTTTGGAGATTTTAATCCAACTTAAGCATTATCACTAAAACTTTATTTTCATTTAAATTTCTCACCAGTAGAGATTCTCCTCTGTCATCTTCTGGAAGGCTCTGGCAATGGCCTTCTGTTCAGCAGTGAGGTGGGCATTAAGATCTATACCACGTTCCTTGTTCAGGTACTCAATACAGAACTGAGAATCTGCCACTACCACACCATTGTATTCCATCCATGGCGTCTTCCCCTTGGATGAGAATTTGCCTGTATGGTCATTCTGAAATTAGAGTTGGTACTCATTAGTAATCAATAAACAACATGCTGAATTTTTTAAAATGGCTTTTGCTAATGCCCCTATTTCACACAGACCACGAATCCCACGAATCGCCAGGAATTGACAAATTTCAGGATTCGTGATTGAATCGTAATCAGTCGACTAATCGGTTTGTGAAGTTCTTAACAGATTCGTATATATTCGTAGTCAGTTCTTGCAATTCTTGATCAATCACAAACTGATTATGATTCAACAACGAATCCTGAAATTTGTCATTTCCTGGCAATTTGTGGGATTCATGGTCTGTGTGAAACAGGGGCATAAAAGAGAGCAGTGATTGGGAAGGAACGCGCCATTGCGCCATAAGCGCATAGAATCGTAACTGGGCGCATAAAAAGCCCTGTTTGTGCGCCATAAGGGCGCGTGATTTTGTTATACCTCGCGTTTTTAAAAAGAGTCTACTCGTCAATAAACTATTTGTCAACTGATTAGCGGAATTTTCCTCTCATACCTGAAGACGTCTCAGGAACGAATTCGGAAGCTATCGAACGCAATCCCCGAAGTTTGCCGAGAGCAATGAGCACATCATCCTAATAGATATGTTAATGAAATAAAAGCTGATATCTTATTGGCCAATCAGTTTATAGGTCATGTTTATCCAATTAGAAGTAACCTTGCTTTTCGTTCTGAAAGCACATGGGATTTTTTCAAGCAGCACTTTGATGAAGTGAAAAGAAAAATGCCGCCAAAAAAGATTTTTAAAATCTCGCCAGACCAGCCTACATTAGTTAGTTTATTTACTTCAACTGCTTTGTCTAAGGGTCCGTCCAACGTTCAGGAAGAAGTCTCAAAGGAGACGGGGGAAGAAAATGTACCAACTTCTGAGAGCAGCGCTCCTTGCACTACGACGAGTAGTAGTGACACGGACAGTAGTGTTACTGCTAGTGCTAGCAACTCTCACTCTCAGGTCGCACGAGGTTTCCAACCCCGATGGCAGTGTTAACAATTAAGGCTGGACTGTCTGCCCGGGGCTGACAACTTTCAGAACGGGCTGAGAAGTTTTCCCACCCGGCAGACATTCGAGCTAGCTACTTCTCAAGATGGCTGAACTTTCGGTCCAGCAACTAATTTTCCTAAGAGGGAAACACTGCCCGATGGCTTCAACTATGGCCCTGGCTCCAGTACAACTGCGAACAGTGTAAGAGTTAAGATTCTTGGGAGTAAGATAAGTTATGAAGATGCACTGAATGTGTGGCACAGGAAAAAGAGATTACTTCATTAAGTAATGAAATCTCTTTTCAGTAAGACTGATTAATAAGTACTAGACAGTATGTGAAGACAATTTCATTTACATTTTCTCAGTTTTGAGTAATCAAGGTTTTCAGAGATCTAGATTGTTTACCTCTTGTTGATGGTTTCATCAAATAAAAACCAATTACTTATGAGTATTACATGTTTTCTGATCATTTTGTTTTTTCATTTAGTCTTCAAATAAGTTCAGTAAAGAAGGCATTGTAATGGTTTTATTGAAAAAGACAAATAAAAGTCTTAACTAAATAAATATATTAACAAAGTTTAACTGCAAAACCTTATCATATTATTCCCAAAAATATTGATACAGATATTTCAAATATATTTGTAATGTTTAAAATTGGCCCATAAATGTCAATCAATGGCCCATTGATATGCAAATGGCCCATTAAGGGTTACCCAGGAGGGGCCATTGTCCCATGGGTGGTTTGAACCTTCCCAATCACTGAGAGAGTACCTTTTACTAAGAACTTGATCCTTTCCAAGCTATTAGAAAAATGTCTCCAGATGTCTTGCAGTCATGCACAATGTAAGTTAATCAAAAAACAAAGATTCTCAATTGTCATCTAAACTTGATCTCACTATGACTACGCTATCTATACTTAAAATTTTAATGTCAAAAAACTCATATCAGACTGTTTATTGCATACCTCATAAGGAATTTTAGCCATCCTTAGATATGTTTCCAGCTTCAATGGAAAAGGTGAAATACTTGGTGCTTTGGGACCACGCCCTATTTGATATAGGATCACTGTGTCTTTGGGGGCAATTTTCTTCTCTCTGAAATATCAAAATTTTACATTCAACCAAGTTGTTCAACGCATGTGCTGAAGAAGGGTTTTTCACCAAAAACATATCATCTCAGTTTTACATCAGGGTTTATATGCTGGACTGCAATCCATGAGTAAAAGGGTAAGCACAGTGCATTTTAGCATAGTGTGTTGGTGTGAAGGATGCAGAGAGACTCCACACAAACTTCCATAATTAGAACTAAAACACTGACACAATCAAAGTCAATGTGCCAATGTCAGCATAATAAACTAAGTGACAATAAATGAGAGTTTATAATCTGACGGGTAAAATGACATTGATGGAAAAGGGTGGCTTATAACTTAAAATCAGATACATCCAGTGTCTGTATATTAAAATTTTTGAAGTGTACACGACAAAAATATGAAAAAAATCAGAGCCTTTATTATATATGCAGTAACATCTGTGAGCCTAATTCAATAACTCAGAGACAATATTCGGCACTTATCAACCAATCAGATCAAAAAAAGTTACTCAGTGATATAATGGCATTTCTCTCATGTATTAAGTTCAAGATGGTCATCCTGTTCACACAATAAAATAGCAGACATAGCTACTATAATGTTCCTAGCCCTCTCAAAAGGATCATCAAAACAAAATGTGGGCCCATTCCCTCTCCCTACCCTTTCTTTGTTAAAAAAGAAACAGTTTCCTAGATCTGCCAAAGAGCAAAAGTAAATGGCTGCATGTGCAGAATTCAGAAGTAGTCATTTCATACCATGTCAATCAGTATGTAACTTAACTTTGGAAGTATGCCAAAGCTTCTTAAAAAGATGAAAAATAAAAGGAAGTTAAAATCTTATGGGCCATTTGGGCATTTTTTAAATCAGGTGAGATGCAGTTTCTAGTAGCAATACCATAAACTACCCTTTTCTTCAATGATTTTCTGCCAACTGGGGGTCATGACTTCAGCACAGAAGATTTATGATAAATCTAGGATACTACAATACATATTTTATATGCAATAACAACAACAACAATCTGATTCTACCTACAACAGCTGAGCAGTTCTGATCAAGGCAACCTGTACAGAGCTATCTAGCTGTTTACTCTGAAGACAGCCAACATTTATGGGTTATGTAATCTTAGACAGGGTTCCCATACTTAGACGGTCCCCAAAACTCCCTGAAATTATCAAGGTATATACCAAGATTATTTGATGAATCAAAAAAAAAAAAAAATGTTTTTCCAAGCCTGCACTCTCTAAATAAGCCTCAACAGAGTTTAATCAACAGTGATTCACCTCCATATAACCGAGTGCTGTTATGTACCTTGATGAAACCGGTTCTATAGTTTCTATGATGTGCTTACTCAAAGTCACCTGCAGCTCGGATATCCAGTTAATGGTAACTTTATAAGACTAGTCCATTGGTGATCCACTTAATTGTGTAAGCACAACCAATCTCAATAGAAAACTTTATCGAACATAGTGTATTTGGCCTTGAATATATTAATAGTCAACAGAATATGATGTATGCAAATTCATGGAGTTGGTCCGTTTTCTTACGTTAAACTAGTGTTGCTTTATTTGTAATGTGTACACCTGTAATTTTGTATTTTCATCTCATATCATATATCTTTCTCTATAACAATAAGTGTTAAAGACAAATAATACTTGATATTAATTAAGAGGCATACCCAGCCAATATTGTTCAACTGAATTTGATAAATCATGTAAAGAAAATGACAAAGAAAACAAATTGCAATATGATTAAAGTGTTAATTGCCTAACAATGAGAAAAGAAAAGAAATTTATCTTAGATAGAAATAAAAAGGTTAATAATTTGTAGTAAGGAAACTGAAATAGTGGTTTTAATCCACATCCACCCACCCCCTATCACAATATTTTTGATATCCAAAGAATGTAATACATTTACCATTTCATGTCAAAATTATACCAAAAATATAAATGACAAAATTGGCATGTAAAATAAGATAAATGTTGAAGCAAGTTTCTCTTAAACAAACCTGCTTAGAAAACATATAAGCTTCTATGTAAAGGAATTTCAGTGTCAAGTTCTACGCATCTACAATTTAATCTATTCAGTGTATGACGCCCCACATTGCGACTATAAGTCATGATTAGTACACTAGGAACTTTTAAACCTGAGCTCGGTCCTAACAGTAAAATAGGAGAGACTGACTTTTGCCATTCAACCACACAGCATGAATTTTGCCGCATCTTGCACAACCACACAAGCGTGACTCTGCATTGCAGCTGCAAGTTCTGTCGCAGTTGTGAAATCAGGCGTACATGTAGATCTACATTATCTGATGTGTTTTTTAAAGCCATATTTTTGCCAGGCCCAGCCCACTATTTTCTATATACCTTCTTGTGAGCCTCTTCACAATAACGTATCCTAAAACAACGCTTGCCACGGAGCAGCCAACTTTAAACCACAAGGTTCCCATTACATCTCTGAGCCCCTCCATTGCGACTTTTCAGATGTCGCTGTCCTGGGACATAGGACTGCGCCACAAGGGGTATTTGGTTTTCTATCATAAATGCTCTGGGCCTACTGTTTGGAACTAAGTCAAACTAAATTTTCAGTTTGATAATGGAGTTACATTAACATCACATAGTGAAAATATTTAAGTTCTGTACCTATGGAAATCATAGTTTGTTTTCTACCTAACTCCCTAATGCCTCCCGCACAGAGACGAGTCTACGATCAAGCCGTCATGTTGACCTCTAGTTGACCTCATTCTGACTGAAAATGGCTGCCAGGTGTTTGGTTTCGTGATGCCGCCCAAATCCATTTACAGTTTTCTCTGCTAGACAAACATAACTTTACTGCAACAATAAGAGAGTGACAAGATCAACCCAAGAAGAAAACGCACAGTAGTATGGGTAAGCAAATTAACCATTAACAGAAGTATTTTCTTTGGTGTTTTCATATGCTTCTGAAGTTCTGCGCAAATTGGAGTCCCAAGCAACTGCAGTTATTTGACGGTATTGCCTGTACTACGCTTTGACGTTCTGTGTAAATGACGTCTGTTTTCCGTCAGTAATGGCATTTGCAGCTTGCAAGTAAGCGAGCGAGTTGAAGAAGTATTTCTGGAATTTATACGCCCTTTCATAGTGAGACTTTTTAGTAAAAAATTATCGGAGAACTCGGTGATCAATAATATTGATAAGCCGTTTTAACATTGACAGGATGGTACTACTTATATAATGGTTAAATGGTAATTTGAACAATGAAATATTTTCACCCTCTCAGCGGAGTTGCAAAAGTAGACATGATAAATATAGCATGTAAATCCAGAGTTGTAACTACTGAATATTAATTGATTTGATTTTATTTGGAAAAAAATTAATAAATCCCTGCCATGTTTACGTATTTATGTGTTAATCCCATACTTCAAAGTAGCTGACTATTTTTCATGTTTGTCACTATTAACGTATTCTGAAACCGTTTTTCCATATTTTTGTAAGTAAGGATTAAGATTTTTTCTTCAGAATTACGTGTGCCAAACAAAAATTCCCCCCTTTTCCTTCACTTAGTAGTAATACACTGTAGGTCATATTTGCAATTATAATTCAATAAGTTTGTTATTATAACCTTGAAATGAACTTAAGGAACATTATTTACTTTAAATATCATTTGGTCAAAAGAAGTTTTAGAATTATCCCAATCCTTATTTTGAAAATTTTTATAAGTATTATAACCCAGCAAGACAGTGAAGAAAGCATGTTCACGACACTGTCTTTTTACAATGTGATTATTTTGAAATTAACATATGGAAGCTGAGAAATGGGGTTTCTGAGATGAGATTGTAACTTTTCAAATTGGTAACATTGTTTTTAAATTCATTACTTTTTTTTTCAAACTCCAATCCTTATTTGCTTTTGACAAGAGCATTAAATAGAATTTTGCAGATGAAATTCTAATTTTCAAGATTTTTTGTACTTTATAATGGTTTGCTTTTGTTAACAAGCTGGATACACCATTTCTTTCTTTCTTTTCAATTTATATGTTGTTATAGAAGCTGTTTGTCTTTGAAAACAAAAATGTGGGAAAACCAAAAGAAATATATCATGATGAGATAAAAGCATCTAGTTGGGATAAATTTATTCGGCACAAGGTTGCACAAGGTCTTTAAAAGAACTAGAGAAAAATACATTTGGTACAGTGCTCCCTTTGTTATCAGAATCAATTCATTGACAAAATCTGTCAATTTTTGTTGGTGTCAGTGGTATCAGGTAGGTGGCATTTCAGTTTAAGCCCAGATTCTAATACATAAAAAAATGAACTTTGTTGTTATGTTAAAATTATAGGTTTTGTATTACAGTTACTGACTCCCAAACACTTAAAACGTACATTTGATCTTACTGGAATTGATCGATGTATGTGTCAGGTAGCTCCTTTATAACGGTCCAGGCTGTTGTAAGGTCACCTGGTTATCAGATAGAATATGTGACCTTGGTATAGAAGTTTTATGAAGTAGAAGTGATAGTGTTAAGAATTGGAAACATCATTTCTAGTGCAGTTATTTGTTCTGTGAAATCAATGAAAATTTGTGAAATCAGTTAACTAGTCATTTCCTAAACATTTAGACTTCATTGTAGATCCCATTAGACTGTTGAGTTATACATGTACAGGCTATTAGTGTGTACCACATTGCCAACCACATAGGAGGCTGAAAACCTCCATCCTCCACCTTTATATTGTGATCCTGTTTATTTACAAGTTATCCAGTCTTAGACTCAGTTGTTTGCTGAGAAATTTGATCCTTTTACAACTAACTGTGTGTTTAATGAGGCAATCTAATATTCAGTAAAAAAAAGCTGCAGTGAGTTATGATGCAAGGCAGTCTTTTGAATGGCGGGTGTGTGAAGGTTATTCAAGTATGCAGACATCTCAAATCGCACCCAAATAGTGCCCAGATTTTTGTAAAGGTATACCTGAGAATTGCAGAAGAGGAAACAAATTGAGAACGCTCACATATTGAAAGTATTTAATCGCAAACAGGTTTAATTTTGTCATTTGTTTACCAGACTATTTTTTAGATGGTCACAACCTCATAGAGTGCACATAGAAAATATAGACAGGGCTCAGCAATATATACACTAAAGCATTACCTGGGGGAACAATCAGAAACCAGTAAATATTCAATTAGTAGAACATATGGTCATAAAATCTTACTACCTGTTAAGCAGAGGGCTTTCAGATAAGTCACATAAACATGGATACAGTTGTGAGCTCAGTTACTTGAGTCTTACAGATTATTTGATCTTTTATTGAGATATAGCATGATGTGTATTCTGGATCAATAAATCTGAAATGAATGGAACAGATCAGCAACATACACAATACCAACGCACATGTGCTATATGGCATTACAGAGGTTTAATAGTCCCATAATGCACAACAATATGGACATTATGATATATGCTTTATACAGATTATATGGGTGAATGCAATTTTATGTTACTCATTTAGCCTCTAACATTATACTGGCATTAGCAAGCACAGTGTGTAAATATGACAAATAATATCCAGTTTGTTGGATGGAAGAAGGAAGACACTGCTAAATATATTATTTATATACTGGTAAAGTGCACGGATATTTCAGACAGGTGTGTAAAGGTTAAAGCAAATGATATCAGCCTTGACTGAGATAACTATAGAAAAGTATCAGAATAATAGTATTAGTGGTTTCCAATCAAAATTTGACATGTAACAAGTGTTAGGGTATTGTGTTACAAGGTGCTGTGTTATGCAATTAATCCCTGACTGGATTGATCTGATACGAGTCCTAAATGTTCTCTTGTTTGTGTAGTGGATGAATGTGCACCTGAAATGGGAATATGATTAAGGTTCTTATATATATATATATATATATATATATATATATATATATAGAGAGAGAGAGAGAGAGAGAGAGAGAGAGAGCATTTTAATTAGATTTGATTCAAGTGTTAAAATTTAAGTTTAAAGTCATAAATAAATAATGAAACTGACAGATTAGTTGACAAACTTGAGCCAGAGCACATGCAGTGTGGTTATGGGGTGTAACTCAGAGAAAACTCTTCAGCTGCCCAAGAGGCTTTACTGTGTGCACTGCAGTGCTTCCCATAGACATTGATTTTACTAGCTACACATCATTGCAAACCACCAGTGTATAGACCCAAATTGATATTTTATTGTAGCTTACATCTTTCATGAATAATGAAAACTTATGCTGTTAATGAGTTGTTGTACCACTGTAGTGTATGGAAGTCGCCTTATCAGGTATTCCAGTGTTGCTCTGAATATGTAATTCTTTCAGTAACATATATTTGATGGAATTAATGAAGTGAACATATGCCAAGCAGTTATGGAAAGCAAGAACTATTTAGTCAAATATTTATGAGAAGAACACAGCAGTTATGCTACAAGGCTGGTACAGTATGTTTTCTCATAACACAAACTATGACTGCTGAATATATCATGGTTATAGAAAGAGAACAATTTGTAGCTAATTTCGTCTCTGTGTTGCAGTTGTGCTGCAGTTTGCACCTGTTTTACCAGATAGCTCAGAAGAGTAGTGACACTTAGCTCTAATAAATGTTATGGGGAGGTACTCTTGCTGTCAGTCAGGATAATTGTGAAACATGATGATTAAAGAAGTAAACGTGCTGTGGTTTTGAATGTTTTGTAGAATACATTCCCAGGTAACTCCACCACCATAACCACTACCACCAACAAATGCACGCAGCCTATCCGTGATTATTCTGTTGTCACAGTTAAAAGCTGTTATGAAAATGATTCATATTTTGATCAAGGACACATCTGGAACTCAAGGAAAATAGTGTATATAGGGAAATTATACAGAGTCTAGGAGGATACAGTGTCTAGGAAATACAGAGTGGAGGGGGATATATTGTCTAGGTGGATACATAGCTCCTGTCCACTTTTAAAAAGTGATGACACAACTATAGCCAGTTGCAAAAATTAACAAAAAAAAATACTTACTAGTAACAAGTTTTCTTTCTAAGATGTATGTATAATAAGGAAGAGAACCCCCCCCCCCTCAATTGACTTTTGCATTTAAGGGAATTTTTTAAAGATGGCACAGATCTTTTTAAGCTCCAAGGTAAGTGATGCTGCCATATGTGACACAGAAAGGACATGCTTCACTGATGTGTAATTTGACCCTCAAGAAAAGACATTGAGAATTTAATGCAGTGTCACTCCACTATATGTGGACATGTTCACAGTAATATAATCTGTTTTAGGGCAAACCTGCTCTGTACCAGATGTGTTCACAAGCTGAGGGGAAAAGTAGCTTGTATCATGTCATGAAGATGTCAGATGACTTTGATACATGTTTTTCTGACTTCGTCAACTGTTGATCGTGTTCATTTTAAGTCATCACATATGCTAACACACACACAAACACACACATAAACACACACTTAAACTGGGACAGGTTCATTCTGAATGTTTTTTCTTGTGTGAATGCAGCGTAACACAGTGTGTCACCACAGCAATAAAGATATAAA